TGTTACAGCATTACGGGTAGCAACGGTGCAAGTGATATTTTTGAAATCACAAGCGTCTATAGGCTATTGTGGCCGCTTACCATCACATAGGACAAATGCTTGTTTGCCACCCTTTTAACATAAAAAAAATATATAAAACAATTATATAACCTTAGGCATTTGTTACCTTTAGAGGTTGATAAAAAATTATGGGCCTCCTCGCAGTGCCCTATAATGAGTAAGCTTATTGGCTTAAGCTTATAGGTTATGCCTGTATTTTTTGTTTTCCTCTTTGTCCCAAATTTTATCATTTACCGGTCGTATCTTATATAAATTTTTATATGACATACCTATTTCTATTGTTATTAAATCCTCACGAAATTCATTATGAGAACTTTATGCACGGTTATCTATTTGTTTTACAAGTCTGTTGCATCAATATTATTTAAAAAAGGCAAAAACCCCCTTGCTCACCTTATAGCCCACTTATAATAGACATTTAGGTAACATTAATTCGCATAAAGAAAAGATTTAAATCGTGTATAAAGCTGAAAATTGGTATGAATAATTGGGTACGCCATTACAAACAAAGCTGCCTTCAATCCGAAGTGTGCAAAAAATTCAAGGTCAAATCTTTTGTTTTGCATTTATATATTATATTTGCATTTATATATTATGTTTTGCATTTGCAGATATATATATATATTTTCATGATAAAAATATAATATATAATAATTTTATCATGAAAATTGGTCATCATGCAATTATCTCTCTGTAATAATCCATTTTGGAGATACAGTGCGACAAGTACTCACACCTCACGCGGTGCAAAAACGTGTGCATACTGTGCAGAACCAGAACATAACATTTTCAACTTCGCATCGCTATATATCCGGTGTGGTGATACTTAGGAAAAAAGTGCAGTATATTATTATAAATAATTGCATGATCATCAATTTTTGTTATACTTTTTTTTATGATAAAACTTATCCTTTCGATGAAAAATAAAAAAATATATATGAAAATTATTTTTGTACACGTCGGACATGATGACGGGACATGATGTGGACAATTTATTTGTAATGGTGATTCCAATATTTGTACCAATTTTCAGCATTATGCAAATTAATGTTACCTTACCCCTATTTCTGAAGCTTATTTGACTGGACTATTCAATGATGTTATGTTTATTGGGAATCCAGTCTTGTCATCCAGCGTTATTGAAATAAACACTAAAAACAAATTTAACTATACAAATATAATGTACACCCTGCAGGCAGATGGATGAACAGCAGACGCTTGGTAATAGGGTTACGTTTTAACCACCAACCCTGAAATAACATAGTAAAATGTGTGGTAAAACTCTTACCACAGTTTAAAGTACCTACTGAACAAAACCTGTTCCTTAGGTATTTACCAAACAATGCCAACCGCCTTTCTCAATTTCGTTGAAAAGAGCCACAGTCATTTGTTTGTTTCGCTCCCCCAAACGAGTTCTAACGAATTTGGAATGAGAGTTTAACATTTCTCACACAGTCCGGAGCCAATTTTGTGATATTTTTCCACGTTTATTTTAGTTCACTTTATTTTAACTTAACTTTTTAAGGATTCATTTTTGAGCAACTTCTTTTGACTCTCTGTGTTGTGTTTCATTCAATTGTTTCACGACAAAGTTGTGCTTATTGAGGTATTCGGGTTATTTATGACTAGGTTTCATAACTTAAATCGAGAAATTAATATTAAAAAAGTTTGTTTCACTCAAATGAGTGGACATCGTTCAAGTTTAGCGTCAGTACTACATATAAAATTATAATGAAAGATTGTACCTCTCCTAATATCTCCATGCTTCACAGCATTAGACGCTCTCTAAAAAAATACAAATACTTTTTATTTAGTAAACTATGATTAATGTTGATAAAGGTTTATAAAAACGTTTTAGACAAAAATAAAAACGGACTTCATAAAAACAAAACCACATTTCTTTTTAAATAATACATTTTATTTACTCAAGCTTAAGTACCTATAAAGTTAAATTAATATTTGGTGTCGGTGCCATGCCCAAGTAGTAAATGGAAACTCAGATCTCTCAGACATGAAGTCGGTTAATAAAAACGGTATACTATCTTGATTGGTGTAAAACGACTTCTTATGATAGAAGAACCGTGGCGGGCGGCGCTAAAATATTTCTGAACAAACCGCTGAAGTTATCTGGCTAATGGACGCCACTCGGCATTAACAGCCAGCGGACTTAGACTTCTGCTGGCAACTTTGGGTACTTCTCGTATCCTTAATGTTTTGCAAACATCCAAACTTTCGGTGACAACTGAGACGCGCATATAATGCTCTTTGGGGTCGACGCGTTCCACGTAAATGTATTGCACCTATTTAAAAAAAAATCACTGCTATTTTTAAATGGTCATATTGTTTAAAGTTATTTGGTATAAAGGCATAAAGTTGTTTGTTATGCGATTCAAATATAAGGGCCGAAACACATAACCGCGTTACGGTTTTGACGCAGAATGTTGTAGTGTGCCACCATGACAACCAATGCATTTGGTTTCAAACACGCCTGTAAACAATACGTGTCAACCCGGAAGCAGTTTGAGAATTAAATTACCTGACGCTGGTGTACGTAGATTCAATGATGTATTTGGTTCAGGAACGTCCTTTTTTGTGGGATAGGTACAAGGTGACCAAAGTTATAAAAAGCAGTATAACGATTTGTTTCCCGACACTGCAACGCACCGCGACGCGGTCGTGTGTTTTGGCCCTAAAGGAAGCTGTGAAGTTGAAATGTAGGAAGATTTAAGCGCACGGGAAGTAACTGAACTGAAACCCACGCATGGTTACGCTCACTGATAACTTCCCAACCGCCATAAAGTTTAGATCGCACTATACAAACAAAAGACCGTACTGAAATAACCTACATTTGGTGGTGTTGTGTTTTCAGAACTCCGTGGCGTAGGGAATTGGGATCAAAGTAGGCAACGCGTGAGTAATATTTTTATCTTTAGCGTCTATAGAATGCTTGCAATCGGGCGGCTACGTTTTTTTCAACCAGCACAATACAATAAACAAAGAATTGTGTATTTACAGTGCCTACTTTGCTAACCTCTAGGATTAATCAGAACGGGTAAAGTGGAAGATATAAATTATATATTTATTCTTATCAGTTGGGCCATTTTCTTTTATGTCATCATAATCATTAAATTATTAATAAATTGATTTATATTTTATAGGTACTTAAAATACTAATACTAAATAATAGGTAGTGCTATTCTGTAAAATTTTAACGCGGGTCCACAGTTTCCGCCTGAAAACTTTACAAAATAGCACTGCTTAACCTCTTATAATAACAATAGACTCTGCTTCGATTTATTTGCTAATAAGTACCTACCTATGGAATATTCACGCAGAAAAGCTTCCAATTATTATTGCTAATTGGTTCTGGAATCGACAAGTTGTGGGCACCGATACAGCCACTTAACCAAAGTCAAATTGAATTTCTGTCCTTTCTTATTCTATTCTAACAATTCTAAGGTATGGTCACAAGTTTTCTTTATTTTAAATAGTTTGGTTATTTATCATATTGTATTTGGTTTTAAAAAAAATTGCCTGGTAACATCACAAAACATATTATCCAAAATTAGTGCAGTGCACTTTTTCATGTTCCCAAGAGTGACAAATCAGAGTCAGAATACCTTCAGAATTCTGGCATAATTCTTAAGACTATTTTTCATTCTATATAGAGTTTATATGACTGTCAAATTTTCTTTAACGTTAAGGGAATTAAACCCGTGTCCGCTAACATTTATTTTTATTCATATGTATAATGGACAAATAAGATAGATGAATAAGACATTTATGTGTATGATCGGCACATATTTACAAGAATTAAAGAATATCAAAAATCTAAAAATAAAATTAAAATCAAAGCTGAGCAAAATCATCATTGAGCTGAGAGAGCAAAACATTGATTTGCAGCTGTAACCAAGTTTGCTTAACACGGTTCTGGCGCTATTTGTCACACAAGCAAAACGAGTTAAATAAATGAAGGAAAAGAAAAAGAAGGAAAATTATATATTATATTATTCTTTTATCACTCATACACTTATTAAAAATATATACAACAAAAAAAACATACACAGGAAAAACCAAAATTTCACGTCGCGACATAAAAGCTTATTTTGCTTGAAAATTCAATACCGAATCAACAAAACGCAGGTCTAAATTATCTTTTCTTCATTCAGGAATTAATCAATGTCCAACTTAATGCTAAATAGGAACAATCACTCGATTAAATCGTATGGCATCAATTCCGCATTGAACAATACAAGCCCGCCAATCGCCCAACTTGCCGATAGGTCCATTATGCTTTCCGAAAGTAATTATTATCTCGTTTTAATATTTTTTGAAAAATCTGCAAAGTTATTGTTGCTCGTTACTCATCTCGGCAATAAGCGTCAAGATGATTTATTCCCTTCTTACTTATTGGAACGAGAGGCCTGCCATCGATTCACACTTTTTAAGTAGGCGTTATGCAAGGATTTATATGTCTTTAACACTTGCTCGTGTGGAATCAAAGGTGAAATTTAATATAATATGTTTAATTTCGAACATTTACTCATCAACTTCTGAGTGAAATATTACCAACTAAAGTAGTTTAGAATGTACCGATATTTTTATTAATTCACTTACATATTTTATTAAATCTAACATGTTGTATGATTCATACTCAATCACGCTGAACAGATTTACGCTGAACACACAATAAAACCTTGTTTTTACCTTGGTGATAAGGTTACTCAGGGGGTGTCATTACTGTCATTACCTATTTCCGCACATATTAAACGATAAAAGTAGGTAAGGTTACGTAAGGACCATGCAAATTTGATTATGACTTCATGAAATAATAATTGAATGCCACACGTGAGACACACTGCTGGAATAATAACGACAAGTGTGTTGCCCCCTCTAAAAGTTATTATATTTTTATAATGGTTCACTCTTCTCCTTTACAGTTCTATCGACGGAGGAGGTTTCAGATGAAAGCGAGCCATTACTACATGTGTTGGCGCGACCATCTACCTTCAATGCGGGGGAGCGAAGAGCGATCTTCTGTCAAGGTCGCAACCTACCACATGTGAGTATATAAGTTCCTTTTCCAATGGAATCATCCTGTTTTCTAATATTCCTATTGTAGGCGGTCATGACGACCTTCGTGGTCGAGTGGTTCGTACGCCGGGTTTCATGGTGTCGCTGACTCGATAGGTCCCGGGTTCGAATCCCGGTGGGGGCAGATATTTGTGTGATGAATACGTGCATTTGTACTCCAGTCATGGATGTTTAATATGTATTTCTTTATAAATATGCTTATATATGTACAGTATATGTATTGTATCCGTTACCCTAGTATCCCATAACACAAGCCTTACAGTGCTTACTTTGGGGCTAGGCTAATTGGTGTGAGTGTTGGAAACATTTATTTATTTATGCACAGAGTAAAACTTAAGACCACTTATATATAGTCTTAATATAGCCATATATTTATAATCTATGGACCAAATAGGACGCTTGCTAACGAGCTTGTTCACGAACACGATTTGTACGTTTGCACCGACCCCAAACCATCGTTAGCGTCAGTGTCGCTAACAAACATTCAGTACCATACAAGACATGGTTTAAAACCGTACCTAGCCCTAGGTAGAAATCGTCTCGTTCACAAACCCCCTCAAACGTCCACTACACGCTCATGCCACCGTCAGTAAAAAAACGGACGGCGACTGAAAAGTGATTAGTTACCTCATTAGACGACTTATTATTAATATTTATCAGTCATAACCTTGACAGCCAGCAAATTGACAGCAAGACCTACTGTCTAATGGTCGCCTTAAAGGAAATACATACCAAATCCCATTATGCGGGTGCGTCAAATTTGAGCTAACGCTTACAGATGCAGCCGACAATCAAATCAATAAGACTTGCGAACCACGGGGGAGAACGAGATAAAAAGTTTTTAGTTACTCATCTGTACACTCAGCACGAACCAATAGCGAACCCGAATAGTTTGCGAGTGCAAAAGATCATTGTCAATCTTTGTATAGAAACTTGAACAGCAGCGCCACAATGGAGGTAACGAGAACTAAAAATAAGTACACATTTGACAATGTCATTTCGCACTCGCAAACTACTAAGTTTTATAACTAACGCAAACCGTGCCAAAACATTACAAAAAAATGCCTATTTAAATATTGGGTTATGTAACCAAAAAATGAAAACGAAACCAATTATAGCTAAGCCTCTGCTGTCTCTCTGTCCGTTTGTCAGTGGGGATTGTTACAGATAAAGAATGATAAAAACAAACAAGAACGCCTCATACACAATATTAATCTCCAACCCTAACATGTTGTGAAAAATTACTCAGCATTAGTTCAGATCAGAGGCCTAAATTTATTTACATTTGGGATAATTGAGCTAATCCCAGAGTCCGCCATATCTAGGCACGACCATTTTACAGAAACGGCAGGGACAAACAATATTTGTATAAAAAAATTCGACATGATATTTAATATGTTTGTATAAAATGTATTCATAATATTATATTAGCTAGCCGGAGTTAGTTTAAAAATATTACATACCAATTTATTTGTTACTAAAATTTTGACTAAACTAAAATTACCTAAGTGTATCTATCAAAACGAGTTATGTGAATAGTAAATTAAACGAGTTTTATTCTCAGCACTGGCCCATTTATTGTCCCGAAGCAGTGGTACGGTTAAAGTAATACTAGGACGCTAAAAACGAAAATAAATGACTTATATATGTTTTAATGAAAATCCTACCTAACCTACAAGCTTGAGCAATAAGTTCACTGAACTGAAAGAGGACTTGAACTCATTTTGATCAATGTTTGTATAAGATCCGTTGGTCTAATGGTGAGGGAGACTGCAACAAGTAAACATTTTGTTTCGACCACAGGGCTCCAACATATATTTCTTTTATATCTTTTTTGAATTAAACATAAATCTACGAAAAAAAAGTCATACAAAGCACAAACATGGTTTATAGCAAATACACTCGTAGTTGAAGCAGAAAAAAGTTAGGCATCATTTCATTTAAATTTCCAGGCCATCAACTGGTACTCGCCGTCCGGCAACATAGTCGGTGAACGTTCCAGCACCAACAACAGGGTGTACGTGGAACGGAAGGTTGATAACAGCATGGTGATGGTGCCCCTCATCATCCACGAAGTGAAGGTCGAGGACTCCGGCAGCTGGACCTGCAAGGCCGGCGAGTACAACGAGACCATTGACATTGTCGTTGGAAGTAAGTAATCTCTCTCTAACTCGCTACCTAATCTTTTTCGGTCGTCAGTATAGTCTCTGAACAATATGTTGACATTATTAACATCCCCCGCAGCTGTGTCAAATGATGACATGAACTGCTGATGCGCAGGATTTCCTTAAGGCCTGATCTGTAAAATTGAGATTTCATCCCCAAACAAGCGCTCTGGGTAATTAGTTCTTCCTGTAATTAACTACTGTGTAGTAGCATTATGTTCTTGTAGTAAAATAACCAATTTTTAAGCTTCACAGGGGCACCCCATATGGTCAGAGTGTGGAGTAGAGCGGGAAACCGTGTCAAAGGTGGGTCCGGATACGGACGTAGTGATGATTTGTGGAATATTCGAAGTCATGTCCTGGCTGACAGATATTTATCTTTTCGAGGGTAGGCTAATTACTCAGAGCACCACGGTCCATATTAAATTCTGACCACATATTCGGATTCAAGACCCTCTAAATACAGATTAAAAAAAAAATACCCCAAAAAGCAAGACTAGACTAAGTAGTTTTTATTGTCAAATTTATAATTATTGTTCTACGTGTCACTTGCGTGTTGTCTTTTTTTAACGGGGCGAAATTACAATAAAATTTGGGCGAATTATGTCGGTTGACCCTCTCCTGATCACCCATCTACTGATAAAAACACCACGGTGTTTCGTCCTTAGTGATGGTTCGGGACATCGAAGTAACAGCCAGGCCATGACTTCAAAAATTCCACAAGCCATCACTGCATCCGTATCCAGACCCACCTTTGATACGGTTTCCCGGACAATGGAAAAATTAGACAGGGCAACTGGACTAACTGGTTTGCGTCAGCGAATAACTCGTTTAAAGTTGCTTATTTGTTTTTTATTTCTTTTATTATTTCAGTTAAGGTAAAGTTCCATAATAGACAAACTACCATGGAAGGTGACGAAGGTAAAAACGCAAAGCTTACTTGCGAAGCGAAGGGGTACCCGTTGCCTGTCATTCAATGGTACAAAGATGGAAAATTATTAACCGGTGAGTTTTGAACTTACTTCATTATCATCATCACCATCTTATTAATTTGCGTTGTGCGTTCAAAACGTGGAAGAAACGAAATTGTAATACTTTTAATGGAAACTTATTCTGATTATAATATTATTGTTGTTTTTTTCTTAAAATATAATTTTATTTCTTTAACCTTAAAAAAACAAACAAGTCTTACCTTAATAATAAATAACCTACATTAAAAACTCGTATCTATTGGATATCTCTTTATAATATTGCTGAACGAAAGCGATAAAAGACAATTTAATTGGTAATATCCATATTGCATAGGTCCTTACTATTGCAGCAAATAACTCAACAGTAACATGTTTTTTATACATTAACATAAGAATTAAAATAGGTTAATGTCTTAATAAACAAAAGATTGATGAAATTATATACCTAATAAAAACGAACAAAAAATCATATTCATTGTTTTTTTTAAATACTAGGTCGCTTTATATTAATTCTTATTTGATCTTTCAGATAAAACATCTCCAAGTAAATATGCGATGAAGAAAAAAGGTGACATTTACGTTTTGGAGGTGCGAGCATTGACTTACGAAGATATCGGCGAATATCTTTGCAAAGTCACACAAAAAGTTCTGTCATATTACACCGATAAGACAATCATACTATCTGTCAAACGTATGTATTTATCATTAATTATTTATTTTTGTGCTCATGCACAAAACTTTATTCATAAGCAAAGCGATATAGTATAGTAATATTTTTGTTCAAATTATTAATTTCCATGTTTCATATCAAAGAAATTACAGTAAATAAATTCAAAACGAATAAATTCTTAATTTAAAGAATTTATTCGTTCATTCAATGAATATTTTTGTCTTATTTTTAATTTATTAGTATAATTTTCTTGTCTTCATAAGTATTATAATAAAGTTTCGTAGTATCTTTATGCTAATTACGAATTTTGATTATTTAGCTATCACAAATTAAGAATATAGGTAAATTTTTCGATTAAAACTGGCGAGATGCATTGACAGCCACAGGTCAAATTACTCAGAACTGTAAAATTATATAAGATTCTCAAATTCTTTTAGCAACTGATGTCTGGCTGTTTTGTTGTGTGACCTTTGTAATGCATAGACACTTATGTACAATGGCGAAGGCATCCGAGTTTGTTTCTAATAAATTATTTGATTTTCATATTTTAAACATTATAAATATTTTTCAGATGCACCTGTGCTAGTAGGTACATACAAAACTGTTGAAGAATATGCTGCGTTTAATGCAACGTAAGTAAAATTAGATAATCCATACTGGTTTTTGCTTAGTTTGCATGAAAGAACCACGGCTTCCATAAAATAGAAAATAAATTTTAACAAGCAATTATTTTAATAGCAAAAGAAAACTAATTTTAACAAATTATTTCCTTTTCAACAGCAAAAACATTACGTGCAGCGCCATTGCGAATCCTTTACCCAGCTATCAGTGGTACAGAAGGCGCAAAAACTTTGACACCGAAATTCCTGAAGAGGATACGGTAAGTGAAAGTTATATTAAAAACTACAGGGCCAAAAAGGGACCAAATGCAATAAAAATTATATAGGGCTAATACTACTCCGTTCCGGAAAAAAAGAATCACGTAACGGAAATCTCGGAGTACTAATAGGTGTAAGTAACACAAAAAAAACGACGGGTTGCACTCCGGGAGTGCTGGCAGAAGTGAAAACTTGAATATTAACGTTGTGCATTTTTGATATAATGGAATGGTTAGGGAATAATTTTGCACGAATTTCATTAATTATCAGTATAAAACGTACTATCATTTATATGGTAGAATACAATATTTATTTATTGCGCTATCGTACACAAACATGTCAATTTATATTACATTAAAAAGTTTATCTCTCAGAATTTCTCATTTAAGCGCACCTAGCGACATCTATTGTAAAAAAAATGCATTTACTTCGCAATAAAGCTGCCACCTGGACGTCCTATATACAGGCTTATTATTATAATACGATAAAATAAAATATTACTATGAATCGTCCAATATATTGAAAGTCAACAACCTTTCCAATTTTATTGTTTTCGTCTTACGAATTTTCGATTGTCAGGTGTCCGGATGTGATCAGGCCACGTGTCATGACGCGAGTTTAACAGTTTTTACCCATTACAAAAAAGTGTACCACGCCGCTAAAGAAGTTTTTACTTCAATATCAACTTACATGAATCACATAAGCGCACCTAGCGACAACTATTGTAAAAAAAAATACATTTTCTTCGCAATAAAGCTGCCACCTGGACGTCCTAGATAGAGACTTTGTTTCGTCCAATATATTAAAAGTCAAGAACCTTTCCAATTTTATTGTTTTCATCTTACGATCAGGACACGTGGCCTGTGATGCGATCAGCCCACGTGTCATGACGATTATTTACCCATACAAAAAAAAAAGTGAACAACGCCGCTAAAGAAGTTTTCACTTCAAAAATAATTCCGACCGAATTCAGAACCTCCTCCTTTTTGAAGTCGGTAAAAGATCTATTAAAAGTAAACGCAACTCATTTGGTTGGAGCTTCAGTGTGGAGGAGCAATATTGTATTATTTTATCGATTGGTTGTAGTAAAGTATTAGTTCAAGAGCTTATCTTACTCTTAAACTGATTGTTTGAAAATAATTTCCCTTTGCCTTGTTGCAATGTGTCTCTTGCCTTCTTATTTAATATTGGAATTGTTTTCGTTGAATAAAAAAAGCCTAATTTGGCTCGACTAAATACCGAAAATGTTTATTGTTCCAAAAACAAAATATGGTTAGTGCAATGTAGTATGCGGGAAAGACCCTTTTAACTAAATTGAACATTACCTATTAAGAAAATGTCTCTGCGCTTATAAAAGTCGTGACAATCTTTATATATATAATTCTTCTGTGAGTGTGTATGTCACTGAACTTCTCTTAAACGACTGGACCGATTTTGATGAAATTTTTTGTGTGTGTTCAAGGGGATCTGAGAATGGTTTAGATTCACAATTTTGTCCGCTGGACAATGTTTTTTTAATTAATTTTTTTTATGGCGGTACGAAGTTCGCTGGGTCAGCTAGTCTTTATGTAAAGAGCAATAAGTATTTTACGATTAAAATAGTTAGCCTATAAACGCTCACAATATTAGAGTATTACTCTTGCGTTACCTACCCTGACACCAGTCAGGGTAAGTCTAAGGCGCAGCGCACATCAGGAGAGGCGCGTCGAAGATAATACGCACGGCGCGGTGACTTCGAGCGCGGCCGAGAGCCACGGAACAGGGCGCGCGTCAACTTTGAGCGCGGCCTAGAGCCTGACCTGTAGTGACATGAGTAGTCGCACCAGATCGTCTTAGCCATATTCAGCGCCCGGGTGCGAAAGCCAACAATGCAACCCCTCTTTAATTTTTTTTTACAAATTAAATAAATCACATAAATAAGCAAGCATACGTATGTATGTACGAGTATATGTGTATGTATTATAGTGTGACCGTGTTGACTAGAAAAACGTAAACAATCATTAAGACTGACTTTTGTTTTTAATCATTTATTTAAAGTAATATTTATAAAATTGTAGTTGGGTAAAGTAAGTAGGTAGGTATGTACTATCTACCACCAGATTCATTCAGATGTTGATCGGCCGGCCCGGCTGGCACCCCTAGGGCCCGGCGCCCGGGTGCGGCCGCATCCAGTGCTCCTATGGGAAAGACGCCCCTGAGTCGCACGCCGACTCACATGACAGTTTCCCAGCGCTGTGCGCGGCTTGCTCTTTTACAAGTTTGCTATGACATTTTTAAGCTTATATCATCGTATATCATATATGTAGTAAGGAATAACAGTTTAACTGCAATTGATGACTTCTCAGTATCTTCGCCTCCCCTGGTGTGCGCTGTGCCAACCTGATTATTATACTACATTTTGCTGTCTCGTCTACATGATCTAACATTCTTTGTCCACACCTTCTATAGCATGTAATATTATTGCATGTTATACCTACATATTAATATATTATTTATTTTTAAGCATTAAACTGCCTACCAGTTTTTAGTTTGTGTTTTATAACACTTTTGTAGCCGGTTCCGTTGCCATATTATGACTATCTAATAGAAAACCGTTTATTTAGATCTTCACTGCCGAGGACGGTACATCCTCAACTCTGATGCTGAGAATGGACAAGGAAGAAGCTTTCGGCGAGTACAAGTGTAAAGTCAGCAACAGCAAAGGCAGTGAGACTGTTATCTTTGACGTGTCACTCGGGGAGAGGCCAACATCTCCCGATGGGGTAAGTTTGTTTCTATTAAAATAAGCGAGGTGGGGCAAAGCGGATTCGCCGCACAAATTGTAGCGCGCGTTTAGGGAAGTAATAATTGGTGATGTTGTGTTCTGTTGGTGAGTAAGGTTCCAGGGCTCCACGGGGCAGGGGATTAGGTCAGGGTAGGCAACGGTTTGAGTGAAATTTTAGTATCGCAAGCTATGGTGGGTGGTCGTAGGCGATGGTGGCCGCTTACCATCAGCCGCTTATTTGCTACCCTTTGAACATAAAAAATACGAGTAAGCTTATTATAGTTTTCTTTTATAGACAAACAACTTAAGGCCTACGCTGACCGGGACGGCATGGCAAGGGATTTAAATTTTTACTAATGGACATTCAACCGTACTGTTACAGAAATACGACATAAATTTCTATTCTTTAAAATGATGCCGTGGCATTGAAAGGGATTTAATCGCACGGCATTAAAAGACGTGCCACAGGCTCCCGTGGCGAGATGCCATGGCATACTGCGGTAGGCAACGGCATGCCACGGACTCCGGCGCTCGTAGTGATATACTGCGGGGTGCGGCGGCGGGGGTAGAGAAGCGGGGAAAGTGAATCTAAGGGTGAACCTTAGATTCACTTTCTTTCCATAGATTATCAACCCAAAATCTTCTTCTATCCCTATTATTTAGCATATGCACCTACTTCTTCATCTGCAATAATCGATATCAACACCAAATCCCAATCTACCATTTTAAAACTGAGGCACACCAACACTCGATCAAACGCAACTGAAGACTAAAAGTGTATCGGGCAGCAGTGCCGCGGCACGCCGTGGCATAGTGCTGGAATGCCGCGGTATCTAAGCGGCCAGTGTGCGCTGACTCACGGCACAAAATTGAAAAATATCGAGATGAAAACTTTTATCTTTACTATTGCACTGTAGGATGGAGAACGAGATGCTGGGATTTCAGCAGCAAAGAAAATAAAATTCAAAGCCAAAGGTTGCGGCTTTATCGGAGAAAATTCTTTTCATCAGGGTGGTTCTTGACTCTACAATGACTCAACTGATATGGAAAGCTAAAGAAGAACTTAAGAAGACCTTAAGTTCTTTATAACTTCGTCTGGTGTGATCCTAATGATATAATATTATTCATCACTGAAACTTTTGAGAAAGCCTATGCTTTAATTTATATAGTTATTATACAGAAATAAAACAAAGAAAGTGTTAAATGAGGCCAGAAACAAAAAAACGAAACAGGACGTTTTAGATAATTTTCGTAACCCTAGAAAACAATGGCAAATCATAAATAGGCTATGTGACAGATTAAGTAAATGAATAGATGATATGATTTTGCAAGTTTTTGATTTATCGCCGACGATTTATCAAATAAATTTTTATTTGAGTTTCGGGATAATATTCAAAATATAAAAAAGATTGCATGTGACACACAATTTTTAGATCCATTATCTTACGAGATCCAACCAGACCGTTGCATGAGATTTGGGAAAGCGACAGTTAACGATGTATGTTTAATAATTAATTAACTTAGTTTACACAAAAGTCCCAGATTTGATAAAATAAAAATAATTGAAATTAAAATATTAGCAACGGAATTAATTCCAGTAATAAAACATCTAATCAACAAATGCGTACAAACAAAAACATACCCGAATTCGCTTAAGATAGGTATTGTTCGGTCCATTCATAAAAAAGGAAGTTGTCCGATACCAGCAACTATAGACCTATCACTATTTTATCTTGTATAGACAAAATAATTGAAAGATTTACTAGCAATAAATTAATGAAAATTCAAAAAAACCTAAACACAAAACAATTACTTTTAAATTTTACAAATTAAATATTTTTTTATTTAAACCAAAAAAACACGTGATGGCTATATTTGTTGACTTCAGCAGGGCATTCGTTATTTTAAAATAATCACAGAATGGCATTAAAGGTCATTTACTAAGCTTGTTGCCAAACTATTACCGAAATCGATTTAATACTGTGAAAGTGTCGGATGCTTTCAGTAATATGATACCTACTACCTCTGACACGGCTCATGTGTCAATCTTAGGCCTCTTGGAATATTTATTGAACGTGAATGATATGCATCGTATCTTTAATGATTAATCTTTAATGATAGGTTGGTGTAGGAGTTTATAACTACTGTACCGTGTTTGGACTTTATCACCACTTAACATCAGGTGGGGTAGAGTCATTTGCCTACCTCGCTATGAAATAAATATAAACGAGTTCGCGAGGGACATACAGCATAACTTAAATCTGTTATGTATGTGGGCACACGATACGGGTATATTCTTTAACGTACAAAAATTAAAGCTATGCACATTTGTTCAGTGCACAATAGGTACGATTGCCGGCCCGTCCTTATCGCAAACATTGCAGTTTTTGACATTCACAAATTCATAGGTATCGTTATCGATCAGCGGTTTAACTGGAGTTCACATATCGAATATATCACTAACAAACTACGGTCAATTTTGAGCAAAATGTCAATTCTCCGTTATAAGTTGCCACTGAGTACTCTAAGATTATTTTATATAATATCTATGTCGGATTCCTTAATTAACTATAGGTTGAGTAGTTATGGTACATCCTGTAAAACACAGTTGCAACAGATATAATTTACAGGTCAGTCTAATTGAAACATTTGTTCCAAAGAAAATACGCCTCAAACTAAACCTAAATAATGTTTATTCCAACACTGTAATATTCTAAATATTTTCGATAAATTTAACCTTTGTAATATTAATAGACGAATACCATCATAAACATTTACTCACAGTGAGAAACCGATCTAGTAACTTAAGACTACTAGATTTTTAAGATACCTACATGATTCCAAATTATAATAACTCATATGGAACAATCGTGTGGCAATAAATATTGCCAAAATTATGAACGAGCTACCTACATAACTACAATTAATGAACTTGTAATAACATTTGTAAAATAAAAATAAACTTTAACAATATGTCTGACCCGGTTAGCATATTAGAATAATTAATTTGTAAGATTTATTTTAATTTCATTTTATATAGTTCCAATGTAAGATTAAGATCAATATATATATCTGCAACTTCTGCTGCGGCAGATGCTACATATTAACAATTCATTAAGTGGATTAGATATGTATAAATATTAAATTTAATTTTAAACATGTTACAATAATGGAGATTGCTCAAATTGGCCCAAATGGATAAAAAATATTGACATACACGGTAAGTCTTGGCGTAATTTATAATTTAATTTACAGTCATTTGATTTCAACGGACACCTTTGTATAATATATTTACTTTAAAAAGGACTTTTAATTTTACCGGTTTGGAAAACATACAAATAATTTTTAATGGCTATGGGTTTAGTAACATTCAGCCAAAGACTGATCGAAGTTGTTTATATAACATAAAAACAAATCTATTTTGTAAAGATCTATAAAATATAAAAATTTCTTTTTATTACACTGTGGTATTAATATCCACCACTATATTATCATTTTCACTAGATGCAAATGTGCTCAGACAATTATTAAAGATGGTAGGCGACATCATAAAGTCTATTGCCATACATTTTTCGCCAAACACCTCCATAAACACATTATAATCTGTATTGTATGTTAGACTTTAAGGTAAATAATAGATCTATGTGCCTACGTTCCCCGACTATAAATTAATAAATAAATAAAATTATAAGGTGTGATACACTAAAATTCTAAAATATGGTTATCTTAAAAACATAACAAAAATAATGAAGCTACTGAATATATTATGGCTATAGAACCTAAATCTCTTAGCTTTCTTTAGTTAACAAGAGTTTAAAAAATCTCTCTAATCTGTGGCTCATTCACAATCATCACACAGTTTTTGTCACAGAGTACCTTATTATAACCGGAAATGACACCTGATTTTAAAAGTTACTCTTATGCATTAACTTTAAAAACAGGCAACTATCTGTTAATCTACATGCTCTCATCTCTATATACCTGAATCTAATCCATAATTTCGGTACTTAGCTTTATTTCCTTAGTTAACTTATTTGTTTTTTATTATTTTAATATGTTCAGTGTATATGGTTTATAGAAGTTCTCATAGGTGTCCGTCAATAATATTCTTTACTACAGTAATTTATATATAATTTCGAATCTAGGAAACAATTTTTCATGATTATTGGTCTTTAGGCCAAACATGTATGGAAGCTGAGCAATCTCCTTTAAAAAAAATGGGTGTGAATGTTAATTATAAATTCAAAGTGCTTGCGTTATTGCGTCAAATCAAAATTTGGATTACATCCTTCGTCTAGATGGATGGCAACGGGCAAGGTCACCTTGGTTGGTACGCTGGATTACATCCTTCTAGAATAGGTCTTACTATCAGTAGTAGGTGGTCACAAAAGCTCATAGACGCTTTACAATGAAATTCAAATCGTTGCCTACCCTGTCCCGATGCTGAAACTTTACTCACTAAGGCCTGTCCTACGCGTATCTATAGATGCGCTTGCACAAGTTTGGTTTAGTTTAAGTTGGAAAAAGTTTGATTAAAATTCTTTCAACTCGCGTTAATGTATACTAAAGTTCCGTAAGCATATTGGCTACGTGTACTTAAGATTATGAACACTTAGAAATATATTTATATGCAGGCATGATAAATACGAGGGTAATGTTGTGGGTTAGAAAATTACCTTGGAATTCCCGTATAATTCTTCACACCGTATTAGTTTAAAGTCATCGAGCATAAATAATAAAAATAGTTTAATCATTATACAAAACACACTCATCCCTACTTTCACAACATCATCCGTTCACGAACGTGACGCAGATTAAACCTCTGTGGTTTTAAGATGCGATTGATCACAACATTATAATAATATTTATTTAAAACTGGTAATAATAATTATAATAAATGAGCTGTCGTTTGAACTAACTACTAACGAAAAACTGTAGCAAAAACTAAAATCACAGTAATTTATGTAATTTACGGATTTGCTACCAAATAACTTGTTTTTATTTTGCGAGTCCTCAATATTTCGTCACTATTTCAAGTACCATATTCACGGAGTAACTGAATTGCCATACTTCTATAAATAATATAAATTACTATAACATAATAACTCGTTTCATACAATAGGGAAAAATGTTGTTCTTATAATTCTCCTAAGAAAGTAGTTGCCCAAATATTTCCGATAGGAAATTCCAAAAATAAATCTATCTTCTCACAAGATCTCGTATACATATGTCGTAGGGAAATAAGGAAACTGGGAATTTCACGAAATCACTATTGATGACGAAGGTTCTGTATATGGGTAAATACTTACTAAACTAAATGAAGTAAAGTGTCAGAAAAGCAGAGTTTTTTTTGGAGTGTGTAGGGTCGCAAATAACTTTACAGCATCACCGGGTTTAGGGACGGCGAGATCCTTATGGAACTTCAAGCCGGGATATCTACCATATTTTCGTGGTGTCCCTAGGGAGTTCATTAAATTCCCGGTTTCCTTATTTTCCTTCGACATATCGCCGTGTTAATGGAAAAACTCATTCATTTCAAAAGTTTGTTGTATAAAACAAATACTGGTCTTTTACCGATACAGTTCATGTTTAATCTTGAAATATCAAAATTATACTATAGTTATTGTTGACATTTGTTTCAATTAACAGCAAACTTTCATGAAACATTCAGTACTCTAACGCCCGTTGCGTTACGGCCTCTTTGCTTGTGTAAACTCTTTTTTTATGTAATGCCTACGGCTGGCAGTTATATTAAAAAGTTAATGTCCTTATTTTAAAAGATTTGAAATTGGGAATCTTCTGCCCTTTGATAGAAGATTCCAGGAGATAGAATTCAGGCACCATAATTGTTATATTCGCCTTGAATTCTAATAAAATAAGCATAAAACCTAATTAGTTGTTTACTATCGTCTGAGCATACCACCCAGGGCTTCCCTTCAGGTTAAGCCTCTACATGGCGTAGTCGCCGAGCGAATAGCCTGTACAGTACGTACACCTCACACACCTGTCAGTGAGTCTGGCTCGGTGAAAGCTCGGGTACGTACGCTGACCTCGGCGTAGCATTTGTTGCTGCATTTGACAAGTACGCCGGCAGTATCTAGTTTAGCAAAGCAAGACCAATTATTTATCTATGTTTGACATACATATAATGTATTTTCCAGGTGAACCTAATCGCTGCCAACTCCACACATTTGACATTCAACGTCAGTTGTGCAGCGTGCCCGATCCAGCAGAGCGACGACACTTCTCCGGACCCTAAGAACCTCACAGTCATTGGTCAGTCAACTGTGTATAACTTTTTTTCTTTTTTTTAACCCGAAGAAATGCGTTACGCAAACCGCCCCAGGGTAAGGCGACGAAGTTATGTGGGACTCTTCCCCCCACCTCCTGAGCCGCTATTCAGCCAACCCTAAGGTTAGCTTAATGGCTGCTCGGGATAGTAATAATAATAATAATATGAAAAAATGTAATCAATATGGTATCCAATAAATAAAGAGAATAATAATAATCATTTCATTACCGGTTTCGGTAGCGTTGTGAAGTATCTGAGTATTTATGTTTACCTATATATTTAAATTTATCTTATTGTATTGTATTTTTCTTTTAATTTTTTTTTCCACCTTTTCGTCTTCTTCTTATATAATTATCAGGAAAACTTTTGCCTTGTGTTCCGCACAACCTCCCTAACTCGCTTACCTTATTTTATTTCCAGCTCATTGGGTTGTCTGGAAGAAATCGCTCATTAGCGATAAGACCGCCCTTTGTGCAATGTTGTATTTTTCTACTTGTTTTTGTATCTGCTTGTTTTGTTACTGTGTTGTGCAATAAAGAGTTTTTATCTTATCTTATCATTTCTTTATTTCTTCTCTCACATAACAATACATCATTTATTTTAAAAAGTATTAAGGATACTTAAATCTAGTTATGTGAGAGACTGGCGTCTGTACTAGGAGACCTGTATTACAGATTACCAGTCTCTCCACCTCCGAACCGTCTATAAGGAACTCAAATAATATTAGTCCCTAAGTGAAATACATAAACATAAATATGAGAAAAAAATAAAACAAAAAGTAGTAGTGTGTTTTAGTGGGTGTATGTGTTTGTGTGGGTGTATGTGTGCGTGTTTGTATTGTGTTGTTTATTATAGTGATTAATTGTGTTATTAAGATTTTGTAGTATGAGTGCGTCTCTGTTTGTTGTTGTATGTACAAGTGAAAAATATGTTTATATGATGTTAAGTACCTTTCACGAGATGACAGAAAAGAGTTTCTCTGTTGTAAAGTAATCCAGGGATTTTAGCCAATCGGTTGTAACTCTCTTGCAATCATACTTAGATAGCGGATAGATGTTAGTGTGCTTATTAATTTCGTTATACAAAGAACAGCCTATATAACCGAAAAACCTTTTTGAAAAGGCAGTTGTCCTGTTGTCCACTGATTATTACGATGACAAACTTTGTGTTTGTGTCGTTTATTTGCATTAAGATTTGGGTCAAACGTTGTTGCAGAGTGTTGTTTTAGCATTGTATTGAGGATAAAAAGCTGACGAACGCTCAGGACATCAGCTAAATCATAGAGGTCTTTAGTCGGTAAAAGAAAAGGTTTGAAAGGACTTACTTTAAGGACTGCACGCTGAGCTCTTTCTAAAGTTATACTTGCAGGTACCTCCCCACACCGTTATGCAGTAGGTTAGAATCGACTGACAGAGAGATTGGTATACTGTTTTGATAATAGATTTATCTGCAATGTTACGTAGGTTCTTGAAAACAAAAATTAATTTCCGAATTCTACCTGAAAGTCGATCTATATGATAGTTAAAACTGAGAGTATTATCTATAACTATGCCAAGATATTTAAGATTAGCGGTGATAGAAATTTTACTGCAAGTACAAGTAGAGCTCAATGTGCTGGAGTGCGCTATTATAGAATGTTTGTCATGAATTGAAGATTTTTTATAGAGAAGGGAATAAATCTAGTTTTGTCTACGTTAAGTGTTAGTGCATTATTTTTGAGCCAATTATTAACTAAGTTAAAACCTGACTGTGCAAATTTGTAAGTCTCTTCCCAACTACCACCATGAAAAATAAGAGCAGTATCATCTGCAAACGTCACCACCTTACCATTCTGCAACACGAGATTACAAAGCTCATTAATGAATACAAGGAATAGTGTGGGGCCTAGTACACTTCCCTGCGGTACGCCATAGTTTATTGGTAAGTCATCACTAGTCAGGCCAGTCACGTTTACTCTTTGAACCCTATTACTCAAAAAATTTTTGAATAACTTGAGCTGGACACCTCTCATACCTAACCTCTCCAGCTTTCCAAGCGGTAGTGGGACAGAGACCGTGTCAAAAGCCTTCGCTATATCCAGGAAAATCGTAATTACTTTCCGCTTCATGTCTAAGTGATTAACTATATGATCAGTCAGTTGGTGTACTGCATCATTAGTCGAAATACCAGATCTAAATCCATATTGTGAACTAGACTAGAATTTGTTTCAAGATATTCAAGAAGACGTTTCTTTATTAGTTTTTCGATTATTTTAGCGTTATAGCGTAGGCAACTTTGAAATGGGTCTAAAATTGTTGACACAGCCTCTGTCGCCACTCTTGTATATAGGGATTATCTCAGCAAGTTTAAACAAGTCAGGGAAAACTCCTGTAGAAAATATCAAATTGAACAAATGTGTCAAAGGAGGGACCAACTTTAAATGATAACGTTTGAGAAAAGATCCAATAATACCCCCCCTTCCAGAAGCATTGCCTTTTTTCAGAGACATAATACAAGATAACACTTCTGATTCATCAGTAGGTAACAGGACAAAAGAGTGTGGGGATGAGTCAAATGGTTGGATGTTGGTTAAGCTAGAGCTGAACGCTTTCTCAGCAAGGTCTCTTCCTACAGACACAAAAATATTATTTATATTATTAATTAAGTCTAAATGTTCGGTGGCAGAAATCAGATCAGAAGCAAGATTGTTACTTTTATTAAAATAAGTTAATTGTTTGACAGCTTCCCAGAGAGCTTTGTTATTAGTACTAGCTGCTTTTTGAAGCAAACTACTTTCGTAATCCCATTTTATTTTTTTTAAAAGACAATTACAATAGTTTCTGTATCTTTCATAAGTTACCATGAGAGTTTCATTATTAGGGTCTTTTTTAAGTTTTTGGTGAAGCCTGTCTCGATTTTTAACACATCTTAAAAGACCTGTGGTCATCCAGGGTCTTTTTATTCTTTTGCGATTTGAGATGTTTATAGTGTGAGTATTTGCTTTTGTCTCTTAGCTATTTGGTTCAACGGTTGCAGCACCGACTCGAACACCGACAAGGCGCCATCGCCGGTTCAAATCACGAACTTCGCAAAAAAACTTTTAACTTAAAATTCAATTTATATTTTCACTTAAATTAATACAGTGGACACGTCCAAATTTATATCACACATTAGAAATAATTCAATAGTGCTGCATTAGTAACCGAAGCGGTTAACACGCGTTTCTCTCTACATATCAGTCAAATCATGAGGCACCCATTTTTCATATTTTTTTAATGTTATTGATATGATGCAAATGAGTCAATATTAAAGATAAGGTAACATATAACCATGCCGCTAATTCCTGGGTACTTTGACTCGGATCGGCTTCCACCATCTCCTTCAATCCATTCGTTATTCACTTAGGTCTTCCACTTGGGTTTTTATTATGAAAGCGTTTAAACCAATAACGCACGTCGAAACTATTTAAATATTACACGAATTTATGAAGTATCATCTTTCCCGTCTGCTGATAAAAAAAAATAGAATATTGCTTTTTATTAAAACAACAACCTCATAGGTATCATGTGAAAAAAGTTTCACTCGATAATTTCCCACCATGGAGGTTTTATGAAAATTTAAAGTACATATTAGTATAAAACGGCAATTTTATACTTTAAACTTGCTTGAATCCCTATTATCAAGAACCAACTTCGTGTTTTTGAAAACGTGGTATCTTAATAAATATATTTATTTTGCTCTTGTTTTTTTTTCAGGATTTGATTTCGAACTGACAGAGGTCAGAGATGATTACCCACCGGACTGGGACAAGAAGTATCCATTTGAGATGCTAATTGAAGAATCAGAAGGTAAGTGCATTGTTTTTTAATACAATATTGTGTATTACCTAAATATCTGTGTATACTTTCAATGCTGAACTAGAAAAATATTTTTCTCCAGCTCATTTTTTCTCTTTGCGTCAGCTGCGGGTGGTTTCGGAAACTACTTAAAGTTGAAGTCTCAGTCTTGTGGTTCGAACCGAAACTTTTACTTGCTACAGACTCTCTTGGTGATCTAAAATTACGATTCATATTATAATTTCACTACTCCATATTCTCCTTTGAGCGATAACAGCCACAACCACTTAACAAAACTTTTACAATACTAATTTGTTGCAGATTTGGTGTTCGCAGTAGGTCCGCTGCCTAATTCTACGGTATTTCACGCGCGCGTGCGCACGCGCAACCTTGCGGGCGAGTCTGATTGGCTGGAGGTGCAACCCGACCCCGCCACCACTTCCCGCGCCGTCACTCTAAGTTTGTGTCTAGCGATCATCGTTGCCGCCTTCATCGCCACCACATATTAGTGTCAATATCGCTCCAAGCCTCTGCCCGGCGGCCTAGCGGTCATCATTGTCACCTTTAACGCCACCACCTAAAAGTGTCAATATAATTTCTGGGCTGCCAAATCAATCATCGTAGTCATCAGTATTTCAACCCTGCTAGGATAAATGCACGCGCAGCCTAACGGGCATGTTTGATTGGATGGAAGTGCAAGCCTGCGCCGCCACCATTGGCTGCCTAACAATCATCGTCGTCAGTCTTGTCCCGCTGCTAGGACTAAGGGTTTTCCTAATGCCTATAATCAGAGCCCACCACCACTTAACGCGCCGTCTAACTTACGCTCAGCCTCAATCTAGAGGTCATCGTTGCAATCTTAAAAGTCAATATAATTTTTGGGCTGTTAAACAATCATCTATAACGTCGTCATTCTTCATCTATATCATCATACATCAGTATTTTTTAACCCTGCTGCTAGGACTAAGGCAAGCGCAACCTCGCGGGCGAGTCTGATTGGACTGAGGTGCCACACAACAAGAACATTATTTGTAATTTTTGCATCATTACTAGTAAATAGGATGAAGTGGGGATAGGATTTATAAAACAAAATTGTCGAGCGAACAAACAAGAAGCTTTTGTACCTAAACATAAACCCCTTTATTAGAGGACGAGATTAAACGAGACGACGACATTAAACGAGGACTAAGCTTATATGCCATTGTGATATGCCATTTGTCATTCAATGAAAAGAGACAAAACATGGAGTAACTATTCAGAACTTATTCTTCACTTATTAATAAGGTGGAAATAGTATATAATAATAAAATATGTGTTAAATAAGCTGAACAATTAATGCTCCACGTGTTTAACACCTCCAGTCTTCGAATAAGTTCAGACTTAGGCGTAACTTGCATCAAATATCTTATCAAAATTGAAAATTAAACTGTGCTTAAACTTCGATCTATCGACTTTAAACAATTAACTGAGAGATAGTGATGTTTTAAACAGGATTCTGTGTGTTTCAGTTTAAATTTTATTTTAGGAACATTGGTGCGTATAATTACGTCATTCAGAATATTTGCATAAATTAATGCGATGTTGTTTTCGTACAATGCATTTAAACTAAACGTACTCTAAAGAACTTCTTTAAAAAGTTCGTTTATAAGCTTAGAATAATCGGAGGGAAGATGTGTTCGTTTCGATAGTAGTAATCTACGAGACTGGTTATGCACCAAGGACACGTAAGTAAGAATTTTCAGTACCCCAAGCATGAACAACTAGCGAGAAAGACGCGTATCGCCATCGTCAAAGTTTTTATGGGAACTAGGCAGAGGGGCCTAGATGGGGGGTTCTAGATGTGAAACCAAACTAGATCCTTGCATAGAAACTTTGACAATAGTAATACGAATACTTTCTTACTTGTTATTCGTGCTTTGGGTACTGTACGAAAATTTAAGATACGCGTGAAAAATTGTTGAGTGGCCAGGTTCAAAGGCTCTACATTAGTTGATCACAATTTGTGCTTTATCGGCTAGCGATAATAACAGATCTCAGAGTCATGTCATTTTAATATTTGAAGGTAATTCTGACAGTTGTATATGTTACACCATTAGGTACATTAACATTTGAGTTTCCATACATTAGCTAGACTGTGCATTACATCATTTATGATGGATAAAATGATAATAATAATTGTTGTATATACATATTTTCATTTGTACAGTGTTACGGCTGCACTAAGACTTCAATTAAATTTTACTCTTGTTAAGATGACCAGTATCCGTAGCACGAACCATTATGTGCCTTTAGTGTGAAATGTTATTGACAAATTTCGTATGTAAACTTGAACAGCAATGCCATAACCGACGTAAGGAGAAAAATCAGTACATATTTGACAATGACTTTTCGCACTCGCAAACTATTCGATTTTGATATTGGTTCGTACTATACATATCGAATTCGATCTTGATACACGTCGAATTTCAAGAAGCTTTGTATGTAAGATTTATAATTCGCGTTACGTCCGTCGTGGCGCTATTCTCCACACAAAACTTCTTGACGTTTGACGCATAACAAGATCGAATTCAAGTATTCGAATTCGATATTGGTTCATGCTACAAGTACTGTTGGCATTATAATGCTATTCTAAATGTGGTTAAATTAGACATAAAAAATAATTGACGTCTGTAAACGTCTGACGTAAACGTGGCAAGTTTAATATAAAATATAGTTTCGGTAACTATGTTCATATAAATATCGTTAAAATGTATTTAAGCATTCGACAAAATTGTTTTTATTTATCTATTATTTTGTAAATATTAGAGCTTAGAAATGTGCAGTAAATTTATTATTGCGTGGCAGTATATCCCCATGACAATCCAATTTAGATAGGAAATCATTAAAAATATTTATTATTGAAATTACACACATTTTAATTGGCATTAATTAAGTGTTGATTTTAACCAATATTATAAATGAGCGACGGCCTGAAATTGATATACTTCGATTAGATAATTGTTGAAAATATTATATGTGATAGTATATAAAGTAATATATTATACTGAAATTGATAAAAAAAACTGGTAGCACCAGTCTGGTCGTAATTAAGGTAAAGAATTTACTTTCCATTTTTTTTAATTTATTATGGCGAAAGAAATATAAATTGTAATACTTAAAGTAGTCATTTTTAAAATTTTCAGGATGCTATGTTAATGTTGATTGATGGGAGTATGTATTTATCTTTGTGTTTGTAAATATGAAATTATTTTTAACGTATACGTTAAGTTAACATTAGATTTTTAATTAAGGTCAATTGTGTATTTAATTCTTGGATATTTCATAGTTACTTTGATGACTTTAATTCTCAGAACAAAGAGGGCTATTCGAAAACAGGGCGTAATTCTACATACGACCACAAAGAAGTAAGGTTAGAGTCTGAGCGGAAAGAGAACGGGATTTAGATTGGAGAGCGCTGTAGTGCTTTTCTACCGTATTTGTAACCCCTTTTAGACATGATTATATAAAAAAAACCGCAAGAAATTCTTTCCGCACAGACTCTACTCTCAATATTGAAGTAATGTATCTTTTGCCGGGACTCAGCTACAATCAAATTAAAGACTATGATGGTTTCAATCATGTTCAGAAACCTTATCTTTTCATCACGTGCTCATAGTTAAAAATAAATAAATATACGAAGTGTCATTGGAAACTATCAACAACTTTGTATAGGTCAGTAAATTAAGTTTGAGTTGAAAGTTCGCTCAGAACATTTATCTGCAAAGGCCTAACCACGATCGTGGCGTTTTTTTTTTCTTAAACACCAGTCATATAAAGAAATTATAAAAAGAATTATATAAAGAAAAATTTAATGAAAAAAAATCTACGCGGACCGGGCAGCAGACGGGACTGGAATCCGCACCGTCCGCTAACCAGACAGATGGACTGACCATTATGCTACCGCGGGCCTAATTTCCGTGTCCAATTTTCTCTAGGATATCTCAAACTGCAAGGCAGCGCCATCCCTTCGCATTGTAGATAACCCACCTACCTTTCGCATTGTAGGTGCCTGGCCTGCGTGGATTTTTTTCTAGTAAAATTGTCTTAAGATTTAAACATCTAACAGTTAAATGCAAAAGAACATAAAAAATATGTAACTAGTCATATAAGTAACTTAAAGAATTAAAGTTCTATTAACATACCACATTCTGTTGAGGCAAACGTACCAAGGCCTTTGTTCAAAAATTTGGAAAAGATGGCAAAACTTAGATAAGAACTAATAGAACCGTAAATTGAGAGTCTTGATGGAACTTAAGAAAATTAGTCCCATGGAAGAAAGCCCTCTTTGTGTCCTAGTTAAACGAACTATGACAGTTTAAATAACTTTTAAATTAAGTTCAACTCGTTAATTAAGCTCCAAGAATCAGAAAAGCATAGGACATTTGTTTTATGATTGCCAACGTCCATCTACCGATTACTAAAACTCTTTTACTAAAAACCAATAATATGTTCTATGAAATTGGATACACAGTCGACATGTATCTAAAAGATTGTCGACTGTGTATCTAAAAGATTGTCAACCGGGTATCTAAAAGATTGTCGACTGTTTATTTAAAAGATTGTCAACTGTGTATCTAAAAGATTCAGATAAATACTTACTCGTATTGTTTTTTATGCTTAAGACTTAGATGTGATGTGATTGTTTGTATTGTGTTCATTAAAGAGCTTCAGTCAAGAACGAACATTATATATTTATATTATAGATGCTGGTGTAGATTCTGTCATGATTCTCTAAACCTAAAATTAAATTTGAGAGCAATATCTCCTTGTCATTCTCTTTACAGAATGAAAAGGAGAGACTGATGTTAAATTTAGTTTCAAGTATAAAATTTAGTTAGTTTTTAGTTTCAATTTAGTTTTTTTTAGAGAATCATGCCAGAATCGACATCACTTTTATATTTATTTTCCAAATTAGAGTTTATCTTTCATTAAACAATATTATTATTCTTATTACGTAAAACTGTGACAATATTTATGCAGGTACTATTAACAGTTTTTAATAAGCTCATCTGTTACCGGGAGTGTCTTAGTGTTTACATTTATAGAAATGCAAACTAAACACTTGGTTATTTAATTAGTTAATGTCAATTCGATTATTACATGATTTATTTGGTATTTAATATGAAGACTGAAAAGTTTACTCATTTCTTTGATATGACATTCATGACTTAAATTATTTGGCCTTTTTATATTATTTCTTAGTCTGTAGTGGTTGTCAAACAATTCCTGTGCAGGCTTATTAAGTATAAGTAAATAATCATTAATAACGAAATATAAATTTTTGAAATATAAATTGTCAAACCATCTGCAAAAATAATATTTATAATTTTTAGAGTAGGTATTTAACTACCTATATATTATTCTCATTTTTGTACCTCTCACAAAGGTAGATTTACATGAATACAGTATCTTGCTGGCATGCCAGCGCTGGCTCCGTGTATTTTTGGCACTTCGCATGGTTATTCTTATTTGCATTTATCATTTTGACAGTTGCCCTAATCAGACTGTTACGAACAGCAAATACGAATATGTGTCGGCCTAAAACACTTTTTCTACATATTTTCTAAAAATGCATTTATACGGTGTGGTCAAAAAAATTTTTTACACAAATTTTTGCAAAACGTTGTATGACATCAAAGACTTGACTTTGGTAAGCCCTCGACCTTTTGGTGCCAATCCAGCCACACAACTGTAGTAAAAGAGGCTAAAACTGGCGCTGTTTTGAGGCGCCTGATACCGAATTCAGCTTCAGTATCAATGTTAATCTATCACGAATTAAAAAAAAGTGCTAATGTTTTGCTAATAACCGCTAACTTTTTCAGTTTCTATGATTACACTACAAGTCTTCAGGTTTAAGTGTCCAAATTTAAATAAGTACCTAATATGTGTGAAAACTTAAGAAAACTAATTTAGAAAGAACGTTTATTTCTAAATTAGTATTTATGTCTACTGTCTATTGTTATATTTAATGTTATCAATTGTACCTATCTAATATAAAGAAGAAGAAAATTGTTTTTGGTGCATTTATATCAATTTTAATAATATGATAGAATTGTTACAGTGTCAATTGTTAATCCTACTTTTGTATTAGGTGCATTTGGTTATAATGCAGATAGAACGGGTTATTATTAATCGTATCTTATATTATAATTAAAATAAATACACGTCAGAAACTGCCAACTCTCTGCTTATATGTAGATTGAACGTGAATGACATAAGTTTGGAAATATTTTACATAATTTTCTACATCTTCCTTCATCCTGCAAAGATATGCCAGGGCACTTATTTCAATAATATAACTAAGTCAATATTAAATAGCTCGTATGTGTACTTGATTGGCAATTGACATTGTTTGTGTTATAATTAATAATGAATAACATCTTAATATATACATATTAGAGTTGTTTTAATAAAGGTATCCAAATACATTTTCGAAGTGAGCTGTTCACTGGATTTTAGCTACTGCATTTGTACATAATCTTTTACTTTGCTACATTTCATGTATACTAACTGTTATTAAGTTAAAAACACAATGTTCTCTGCCTTCAATAAAATTATTTGTAAAAAGTTGTATCGTTATTTTTTAATGTCTACGCTTCCGACAAAACATCAGTCGAGGAAATATTATTATCGTCGTCGTCAACCATTGATGCCCCTGCTAAGGTACAGGTCTTCCCTATAAATGGAATAGGGAGATTGGGCCATAACGGCCAGTAACGGGCCGAAGCTCTGAAGAGATCGATTTAATATAATTTTTGCCACCTACCCGATGACCGTCCATTGCGAAAGTTGCTTAACTTCCACGATCGCAGATTGAACGCCCTAACCACTTAACTCCTGCATTTTTTTTTTCACATTTTCGATAAATATTATGTATAATTATTTAAATGATTAATTCATCACTTGCCACTAACTTCTTATATTAGTATTTGTAGAAATTTCAAAATTATGTTTGAATTTTAGGAACCAAAGGTAATGTTTTCCCTTTGGTTCCTAAAATTCAAACAGTTTCAACGGGTTAGATGCACTGATTTTATTTATTTATAGACGTTTCGTATCCTTTACAGGAATGCGTCGCCGCGTCGAATTAATGAGTGATATGCGTGAAAACCTAGGAAACAAATAAACAAAAGGAAAATTGAAACTATAGTTGTATAAATTAATTCTTCAAATGCTTTATTATAACACGGTTTTATAAAAAACATGAGAATTGATAAGACATTTAATTAGATAAATAATGCATAGAATGAAACAGATATTTAAATAGTAGGTACTGTTATAGTATATTCAAACCTTAATGATGAATGATAAAGTCCTTACAACTGTAATTAATAGAAACTGCTAATAAAAAAAATCTTTAATTCCTCAGATTTAAAGTTCTAAACTTACACTATCTTCATTACAATCGTACATATAAAAATCAAAACTAGAATTCCGCCGGCAAAAAATATTCCGTAATACATTGATTGGCTGGTACCTCCGTCACCGTCGAGCATCGACGTTGTGCTATTTTTATTAATATCTTCAGTACTCGACTCGTCTAACGTTTCCTCTTCAGCAGCATTGGTTGACGCTACTATAGGTAAAGACCATGGGGAGAAGCCAAGCTCGTTACCGACGCGTATTCGGACCCAATAATTAGATTCTGGTTCTAGATCAGATAACGATACAACAACAACTGAAAACAAAAGAAAATTTAACTATACCGTAAATAGTGATCCACTAAGAAAAAAATCTAAATTATAGTTTAATTAAGATCACTGTTCAAACGCCCATTGCAAATACTCGTCATTTAACGGAAAAACTGTTATTGTTTTCAAACATACTTTACGTAAACAGTTTTATTTACAAATCCTAAAATTGTTTTAAAAATTTACTAGAATCATATCAAGTAAATTTATCACGTGATTCATACCATCATCCTCGATTTCAGAGAATTCCTGGGCTGCAAATTGGATATCTGCTGCTTTTTTCCAATCTGCCTCTTTTGGTAATCTTTTCCTAATACCTTCAGGCATTAGTTGCACTTCTACATCTGAAATGTTATATTATTACAAAACTGTTTGTAAGCTTGGATTAATTGTTATAAATCCCATAGGATCCTGTCTGATATGGAGCAAGTAGATTTTTTTAGTTTAATTTTCTTTAGCATGGATTTAATTATTTTTTAATTAAGCTCTTTTTATCCTCCCCTAAGCTATACTCACTTTCAATTGGAAACATAACAGGTTTTGACCAGGTTACATTCAAATCTAGGTGACTTTGTGAGCTGTTATAAACATTAACCTGAAACAAATAGATTTTATTGTAAATTATTTAAATATGCTCTAAGTGCCACAAGAGGACACAATAACTCTAAGTAAAATTTTCTCTTCATAGCATTAATTTATTTATTCAGTCGCCTAGATATCAGCTGGTCTTACAAATTTATTCAAAGAGTTTTAGTATAAATAACAAAAAAAAAGTAACAGGGAAACTAACCTCACTGGGTCTTTCTGGTTTTTCTACTCTCAGTAATGTGTAATATTTTGACGCCACTCCGTATTGATTTGCTGCTTCGCAAACATATTTCTGACCAAACGATAATCCGTCCGCTACTATTGAGAATTTAACTTCACTTTTATCTTTAGCATAAATCAAGCTATCTTTAGGATATTCGTATAAGGTATTGTCGTCTAGAGCATGGAACCACCTATAAGTAGGTTCTGGGTAGCCACCGGCGGTACAGACGAATTCGACTCTAAAATAATAAAAAATAGGTATAAAAATCATCAAGTTCACGTCGACATTTTGCTGTACATTAACTAAATAAGTATGTATATAATATTTTCAGTAACAGTCATATTATGAAGTTTATGTACACTTTTAATTGTTTCAAATATTCAAAGTAAAGTTGGTAATACTAACGTTTCATTATACTTGCTATATATTTTAGTGTCATTTCCGTCCTCAAAAACTGGAGCATCTGAAAACAGGAATTCATTAAGTAAAAGGTCAATGTAATTAGCGTAACTAAAACCGACGAAGCTCTAAGTATGAGTGATCCAAATAATATATGATATTACTATAACTGTTAGCCAAAGAACAAACAACACGAACGCGACTCGAAAGTCCGAGTGGATCTATGCTGTTAGTTTGTTAAAAAAATACTTACAATTTACTACAACTGAGATATTCAAGTGCTTAGTTAGACTACAGTCCTCGACTGTTGTATGCTCCTGAATTGCCATGCAGGTATATTCTCCACTATCTTCTGGTGTGAGCGATGTTATTGTCAATAGACCTTCAAATCCATGGCTGTTGTACTTTGTCATAACTTGATATTTACTGGATTCGCCGTCATCTTCGATGATATAAACCCAATTAGACACAGACAACAATTTTGGAACAAATAAAAGCAATCATTTGAGATAGTGAAATTAAACTGAACAAGCTATTAAAAATATGAAATGAAAATTATGGAAAGGTAAAGAAAAAAGGTATATTTTTTTCTTTAACAATAAAAAGCTAGTATATAGTAAGACAGAAGCAATTTTAGAAAAAAATAACCACTAAATTGAATTTGCACGATTCTAATTGTATGAAATTACACTTTAATGAAACTAGTGCAGCATCGATATCTAACAGTTATATTAACTAAAATTATTTTAGTATAACAAATTTAAAAAAGTATTTGTAAACTGACTGATCTCAATATAATTAAAAGTACCTGAAATCTGTTGACCATTTCTAATCCATTCAATTCTGGGCTCCGGTTGACCTCTGGCTTGGCATGACAACGTATACGAACGACCCTCGTCCATGACCACTTCAGTCGACATATCCACAAATTCTGCTGGAGCTAAAATATTAACAGCATTCTTAGTTACACCTATTACTGTGCATTTTAAATGTTTCGTTATTTTACCTGTTTTCAGCATTAAATATAATATATTTTTATTTAATTCTAATGCCCCAGGCAACCTCACTTTATGCCGTATGATGAGGAATTATTATTCCATATTTTTAACGTATTTATAGTAAGTCATTGGGTTGCCGATTAGATTGAGATATCGATGTTCCTATTATAATTATGTTTCAATAAAATCAAAAAGAAACTGTTTTTAATTTAGTCTAAGTCATTTAATAAGCTAACTATTCCTATTTATTTAATTTGAACGACGACGAAGTCGCAGGCGGCATTAAGTTTATTTATACATAGGTTCGACAAACCACTCCCTAGTGGATCTTAATTTGGTAAAGTCTAGATGCGAAGATAGCAGCAGTTTTACTTGACACACTATTATGCTAGTCTTGCCGGTCTGCAAGATGCTTCTTCGCGATTTCTTTAAATGACCTCGGGGTCATTACTAGCAAGAAAATACGTAAAGGCAATGAAAATGTCATTTGCTAATATTGATATTATTGTGTAATGCCGATTTCTGAAGAGACACTTGGCGGAAAAATTCACTGTCGCCTATCACGCTTACTACTGTTCACTTTGAAGACAAAGTGCTGTCAAAGATATTGTGCTTTAAATATATAGTATATAAAGTTATATGTATAACATATGTGTGTAGCTTTTGTACATATCGGAATTGGAGAGTGTTAAAATTGTGAAGGGATGAGATTTATTCTTATTATAAAGCACAGAAAATTCTCCCACCCGTAAAGGAGCTTATGCAGCTGAAAAGTGACACTATTATTACTACCCGAGAGTTCTGTTTTTTATTTGTTTAAAAATTTATTGGCCTATTGTAGTTATTTAAGGATTTTACTGAAGGAACCTCGAAAGATATTTTCTATTACGTTAGAGGCCATTTATTGCTTGCTTTTTGCGTTGCTTGCTTTATTAACTGACTTACCAATTACACAAAGCGTTACTTTCTCAGAGGCATCGCCTGACCGACACTCATATTCTCCAGTATCGTCGACCTCTGTGTCAGTGAACGTAAGGGTCAAGGAATATGTTCGTACTCCTCGTACTAAAGGACCGGTATGTTTTTGTGTCGCAACCCTCTTCGTAGCTGAAAGTGGGATTACATTCTCTGAAGAGTCCAGCCATTCAACCTGCGGAACAAAAAAAAATCTCATCTAGTAGTCTATTTATGTCCCCACTGCTAGGGCGCAGGCGCAGGCATTCGCTACGGATGATGATAGGGAGATTGGCCGCTGACCTACCACGCAGGTCATTGGTAGGTGCCAACAACTGCAGATTGCAGCTGGAATCAACGGGTAAACGTGCCTTCCAAAAAAATGGAGAAGCTCGACATTGCAATTTTTCGGTCACTCATCCGATGACCGGCCATTGCGAAAGTTGCTTAGCTTCTTCGATCTACAACTGAACGCGCTAACCATTTCTGTTATGGAGATTCTCTCTTATTTAGCATAATACACATATATAAGTGCTTCATATTGAAATACCTAATAAAATTATAGAATATTCCTAATTAATACTTAAGAAATAAGAACTTTTTTCCGTCACGTGTTTACATCACGTGGAATATTATTATACAACGACAAAAAACTACCTACAACAAACTTACAACCAAGGAGCCTACAACTAGTTTCGGAAATAGTAATATAAATGTTGTGTAATCGCGTGTGTTCAAATTTTATGTAAATTATTATGTTAACGGTCGCCCTAACCTAGTATCAATAATCAAACAACAATATTTTTACATTATTATTGACGATGTCATGAAAATTAACAAACAGCGCAATAATCTTATTTGTGATTATTTATAAAAAGGGCATACTTAATCAAACACATGTTTACTTAAGCACTTAATTAATATCTTATCACACCCATATATTATTTGCGATAGTTTTGTTTTCTTAATTATTTTCACAGCATCCAAGCACGAAGACCATGAAACACGAAATCCATTTCACTAAGAATATTCGCGAGCATGATTCTATTAGTTTCTAAGCTTGTTTCTATTAGCTTGGATGGCTCTTTGACTAATGACCTTAAAAGGTTAAATTTGAATCCACATCGGTATCCAATATTACTAACATTATAAATGCGAAAATTCGTTAGTTTGTTATAGACATGGGCGTTTTTGGTTTTGAACGCAAACGGATATTTATCGGATTTCAGATTTCAAAATCGATTTTAAAATCCGTTTTTAGATATCCGATTTCAGATGTGCCGAACTTAGCCAATTCACTAGTTTGTGTTATGATTTGGTTTTATTAGCTAACGACAATCACAAACAATTAATTGTAGGAAGCAAGGATACTCGTAGATTTTCGCGATTTTCCTTCATGCTTTAAATCTAGGCTTAGGACTAGCAGAAAAGTTATGTTTAGGGTTAAGAGTAAAACTTTTGCGGCGCATTTAAAAATCGGCTTTTATACAATGATTTCTTTTTACATATTTTTTAGTATTTTTTTTGTTTTTCTGTTTGTTTTTATTATTTTTCAAACCATTTACAAAATCAAACCTAATTACTTCAGGTTAGCGTCCAAAAATGTAAGGTGCTCGACTTTTGATGTTTTTAGACGACATATCTTTTCAGTGATAAATAATCCCACCTCAGAGAAGAGCAATAGATTTCCGTAAACAGCAAATCGAAATCGGACTTCCGAGCACGAAATCTGACTTCTGAAAACGAAAGCACGAATTTCGAATCCGATTTACATTTGGATACTTGTGGTATTAGATCGCTAGCGTTTTGGTTCGGTTAGATTTCTGAAATCGGATTTTTTTGTTGAGAAATCGTTCGGTATCGATTTGTGTTTGAAATCGGATTTTGGATTCGTTTTGATATATCGGACGCATGCCTAGTTTGTTACTACCTCTTTACGTGCAATGTACATAGATGTATTTTTTATAAGGATAGTTTGGTTTTCGGTTAAACACATAGATAGGGCATGTTTTGTCCCAGAAATCATCCGACGAACAACGACGACAGGTTAGTAAATTATAATTTCAATTGAAATTCAGAAACTGTCATCATTTAACTGTACCAAAATTTGGGCATTTGATCTATTTCACGACCTTCGCCAGATTGTTGTTTCAAAACAATATTAACATATTGTTACGATATTATAAATTGAATAAAACGTTGTCTAGCTTCAACGCCCACCGCAACCAGATACCACGGAATTGAACAAACATTTTACTGTCAGAACTGTGCAATTCTTTTCTCTTTTAGCTACTGAAGATCGGGCATGCAGGTAAATCTCTTTTAGTCGATAGGTTAGCGAAAATCTAATTAGTCAAGGGAGAATCTAATTTAATTTCTGACTGGCAGTATTGTTGAAAGATTCGCTAAAAGAGGAAAAAATAAAATTCTTAACCAATAAAATTTAAAAAGTTAGGAAAAAAAAATGCTGCTATTGAAGACCAGCGGTACATCTTGGAATTATGTATTAGCATATGAATCCTTCTTCGCAGTGAATGTGCAAACGTTTGTCTTGCTAGAGCTAAACAAGACGAGGTTCAGACTTCCCCGTTTGGAGACTCGCTCAAAAGAACCGTCTACTTCGAACGTATTCGTAGGATTTTAAATGTGAAAGAATTTTTCAAATCAGTCCGGTATTTTCGAAGTATATTCAATGCAAACGAACGATTAAATATTACCTCTATTTATAATATTAGTAATAAGTATAGCTACGGAGTTCAATGGCGCAAGTGGGTAGCGCGTTCGGCCTGCGATCGTGGAAGTCAAGCAAGTTTCGCAATGTCCATTTATTTGATGGGTGGTGAATTTACACTAAATTATTATCTCGAGCTCCTCCGTGCTTCGGAAAGCACGTTAGGCCATTGGTCCCGGCTGCATCTGCATTTGTTAGAACCCACCAATCTACACTGTGCCCGCATGGTGGGTCATGGCAATCTTTCTATTGAACCCCAGGAGTGGGGACATTAATAAGATGATGATGATGAAATACTTAATACCACAAGAGTCCAAGCTACAGCGAACTATTTATTCTCTTTCACTTACTTTTTGGAAAGAGATAACGTCTTCAAATTTCAAAAGGTACACGCATCGTTGGAGAACCATCGTGTATGCTACTTTGTTGTGTGCTGTCATTGACCGTCCTTGAAGATCCGGAAAATCACGCGGGGTACTTATCGACAGACGTACCTAAGTGTCATGCCATTTTGACCTGCACTTGCATTCAATGTGATTGCATTCAAATAAAAAAAATATGGGTGCGTGTACTTAAGTACGCGCGTGAGAAGTTATACTTCTTTTTGGAATTATAAAAAAATAGTTTTTAATTGCATGCAGATAATTAATTACAATAAGATAATAAAAAGATTGAAAAAGGATAGTCAACGCAGTCAATAAAGTTCAGTTTTAATTTGAAAAATTTAATAAATAATCAAAATATTAAATTTAAATCACTACTGAATAAAATTTATTAGCACATATAAATTTCGCATTTGTATAACATTATAACACTTGTTAAGAATATAGAAACTAGAAACATGTGGATAAATATTATAAATATGAAAACAGTGATCAGAGGCGACGAGCGTCCCAACATGTGCGACTAAGAGATCCTATTACTATTTTGTTGGAAGCTTTTTTTCGAGACTTACGAGTAATGTGCGGTTTAGCGGCCGACTTCATGGTGTTACTTTTCTGTTACAGTGTTGCGCGCACATCTTAAAATTTCACTCTCATCATTTTTTCATAACGCGGCCGCGGCTAACTTCATTATGTTACTTTTGTGTTACAGTGATGCGCGCGCATCTTAAAATTTCACTCTCATAATTTTTTCATAACGCGGCTAAAGAAGTATAACTTCAAAAAATAAATTAATTACGCCTCGGAACATTTTAAGACTTCTGCATCTTTCGATCTCTATGGCTATATTTATTTCAAATAGATATTAATCTAGTTATGCTAGGGGTATACCTTTATCTTTAAGTAATATTTGAAGTATATAATATTGAGCATAGTTTGATAAAATAACTTTTTTCATAGAATGAAAACATCGGCTGAGTCGTTCAAAGTTTTATATTTTAAAAACAGCATTTCATCACCATCATCACTTTTTGTATGCCCCCTCTGCTAGGAAACTTTTTTGTGACACCCTATGGGTGGAATAGGGATAGAAAAGGGATTCAGCTAGCCCAGATTGGTGGGTGCTAACGGCTGCAAGGGAATCCGTTAGTACGTAAAAAAAATTTCAACACACTCAAAAAATGCTGAACCTCAACGGAGATTGTTGTACTTTGTTGGAAAGTTCAAAATTACGAGCCATCTATCGGTTTAAAATGTTTTACCGCACGTTCGCATTCATGGCGCGCCGGGCGTATTCTTTACGGTTTTTTTTTTATTTCAATCGAATCTCCTTAGAAGCATTAATACAAAAAAGAGCGTGTGCGTCTCGGAACGCACAACAGAAGTGATAACTTAAACTAATCTAAACGGCACTACGGGGCAGAGTCAGAGAGGAGGCGTATCTACATACATCGGAAAGTTGTTAAATTAAATAAGCACATTGGTAGACATGAAGAGATTGTTAGGTGAAAAGGGGATTGGAGGGTGAAAAGGGATTGGACGGTGAAAAGGGGATTGAAGAGTGTAAAGGGTATACGAGGGTGAAAAGGAGAATCAAGGGTTTTAAGGGATTTGAGGATGATAAGAAGATTGACGGGTGATAATAAGAGATTGGTGGGTGTCAGTGAGGATAGATAGGTAATAATAGGGGATTGGTGGGTGATAGTGGAGAAATGTAGGTGAAATGGAGATTGGAGGGGGTAAAGGGATTGGAAGTGAAAGTGCACTTAGAGGGTCTAAAGGGGATTCGAGGGAGATAAGGGGATTTGTAGGTGATGATAAAAAAATGTTAGGTGATAGTGGGGCTTGATGGGTAATAATAGGGGATTGGAAGATATAGGTACTGTTTTGTTGCAAATGTTTTGAAAAACGTTGTATGACATTCTTGCAAATTGGTATTCTTGCGGACATTCGTCTACTTGTTTGTAATAACCATTTTATCGCACTTGTATCATAAATAACAATTAACACTCTTTATTGTAACTCGTACGTATTGTATTGGAAATTTACCGATAATATAAAGTAGAAAGAAAATAATATTGGACTATTCCAAATAGCTAGGTGGCTGTAATTTTTATATGATTCCATCGTCTGGCAGATGTTGATAATAATGAGGCTTTACCTATGAATTTACCATTCTGTCGTACTGGCCATTTCAAGCCCATCTTTTATTCTTTCGCTAAGAATTCTAAGTTCAAATTATTTTTATTTTTAAAATATGGAATTCTTTTTTGAAAATTAGTCATTTGTTTATTGGTCAGCGTTCTGTTTTAAGCGCATTTGTACGGTTTTCGTCATCATGGATACGTTAAAGTTTCGAGTGATTATGGAGTATGAGTACCGTCGTGGCAGCAAAGTGGCAGAAGCGGCACACAACATCAACGAAGTATACGCAGCAAACAGAACTAACGATCGCACCACCCGTTATTGGTTTGCCTGTTTCCGTTCTGGAAATTTCGACCTAAGAAATGAACCCAAAAGTTTTCGGTCGAGAAAACTTTTGTCGACAATGACGAATTAAAGGCGATTGTGGAAGCAGAAGATTCTCAATCTACTGCTGAATTAGCAGCAGCTTTCAAATTTAACATCAAAACAATAGTGGTCCATTTGCGTCAAATTGACAAGGTAAAAAAGCTTGACAAATGGGTGCCCAACATATTGAATGATCGCCAGCACGAAGTACGCGTGGAGTCGAGCCTTGCACTGCTCTACAGGCACACAAACGAAGGCATATGAGAAAATGGATTCTGTTCGACAATCGCAAGCGCTCAACAAGTTGGTTAAATCTTGGTTCAACACCTAAACAATGCCCCAAAAATTAAAATATAACTATTACAAAATTAATTAAAATTTGAATTGATTCAAAAAATAAGAAATGATTAGATGATTCAAACCCCTTCGTTTCTTTTGCACCATTCTGTATTTTCCAAAAATAAATATGTATTCATAAATAATATACCCAAACTTTGCTGAAATCGCTACCTATGTTTAAATAACACATGGTAAATAAAATGATCACTGTTCATACTGTTTATAATTCATATGTTGAAAGGCAAACAGAAAATTTTAAGCATTCTTGTGGCTATATGACATATCAAGCTTGGAGAAACCCCATGAAGTGAGGTTATTTCTATCTTTAAATTTACTATCACCGGTTGCCTACTAATATAATAATTTCTTTCGGTAAATGCCTACCTATGGGTTGAATCGGAAAAGTAGTAATTTATAACCAACGATGACTTAGTTTTATTTTTGTTTAATTGTTTCTAACGCTCGAAATGCAACCTTCTATTCTGTAAGAGCAAACTCACTTTTCACCGGGTGAAATTTATTTGAAATTCTTGTTTTAATTTTAAATCAATCCGCGGATTCCTAGGTAAAAAGTCAATTTGTTCTTACAGAATAGCACCACAGGCTGATATTCACCTCATTCACTGTAAGTATATCATCTCAGAATGAGTTGCAGATCACAAAGTCGTGATTACCTGTTCTAAACTTATCAAACCTATTATATGTTAAATTATTTATTTTTAGCATTTAACAGCTTGATGCTAGAAACGTCAATAAATAAATAAAACAGTGCATCTACACCGTTGAAACTTGTTTTATTTAATGAGTGTCGTGCGTGAAAACCGAAGTAACAAATATGCTAGATATTTATTACCATACAATTGGAAATTTGCTCACAGGCGTCAACCGGTGCAAAACTGAAATGCAGAATTCACGCGCACTGCAGAGGTCAGCCTTAATGGAACTCAATTATGAGATTCTCATAGCTTCTCTCGATTAATTCGCAGACAGAAATCTGAATTTTCAGTAGCACATCAGAGTTGCAGCAGCGGCGATATCATTCGATTATATGTTCATGCGGAACACAGATTTTCATAATATATCATTTTTTTTAAATATTCTAAATTGAAAAAGTTGAAAATGTAAAGCTATACAGCAATGTTTGTTTTTACCTAAATTTAGTCTGATGGATCAACTTACCTTATGATTCTTGTTCGAATATTTACATGATATCGTTTTGTAACTATTGGGCGGAAGGTAGGTTTCGTATGCACCATAGTCTATTCTATCTACAATTAAACTTTTTATGTCCTTCGATTTGGCACCGTAAACTGAAATTTAAAATATTATTTAAACAATGTCAATTAATCATTGACAAAAAGAGCTAATTGCTATTATGGATTTGTGATTAGTATTTTTGCACTCTTACCAGCTCTATAAGCCATATAAATAAAGACAATCACGTAGAAAATCCACTTCATTTTTACTACAATATTTTACTTCATGTTAATTCACAAAACAAATGGCCGGGTGCTTCTGTCCCACCCGTGAGTAAAAATGGACTGTGTCCAGTTTATTGCATGGGTTCCACATAATACGTTATAATTAATTGGGAACACAAATTAACACTAATAAGGGATGTCGACTGTCCGGATAGAGCACTTATTTTCGTTACGTGGTAGATTAAAAAGGTCATCCCCGCGACCTTGTTTTGTAACTCTAATTAAATTGTATGTTTCACACTTTAAATTTTTTTAACTGACCAACTCAATATCTATATAGACAATAACTTCTATAAGAACTTTCGCAATGACCGGTCATTGGATGGGTGATCAAAAACTTATTATCTCTAGCTACTCCGTGCTCGCAAAGGCACGTTAAGCTGTTGGTCCCGGCTACGTCTGCAGTCGCTAGCACCCACCAATAAGCAGTGGGCCAGTGGGCCCATTCCTCCGATGCCATCTATAGGAACGGCCTATGCCCCATCGTTGGAGACATATAATAGGCTGATGATGATGTTATCGATATAGAAACCGATAAGGTTGTCAGTATATTAATCTAAAAGTCATGCCAATGAAGTGGTACAACTTATTCTAAAAGAATCATTATCAGTAAAAGCAGTTTATGAACCATTTAAATACATACGTATTTACCGGTGGTACAACAAAAGTAATGTTGTGTTTATACCTACTTATTTTCATTAGCTCCTTCGTTTACTTATGTTCTGGTGATTCATACAAGACTTACTCAAAACTATGGTACTCACATAGTCTATAAAAAAGAAGTATGTATTACTAATATACTTATATTATTAGATGTTCCATTAATATTTTCATCTTCAATATGAAAATACTCAAACGCTAGTTAAGCTAAATACACATATAATAATGCCGTAAAATAGGATTTTCCATGTTTTGCGTATTTACTGATTTCTACATTACGCAAATTTATGACAAGTGTTAGAAAAACCGTATTATAATTATTAATTTCTTTGAATAAATGTGGTTGCTATGACACCCTAAATAGTCTGCAGACGTGCGCAGGACTTCCCGCGCTAGGGGGTAAGTGCGCGGCCTATTGCCCACCGCACCGCTCCCCGTCCGCTGCGGAAGGGCTGCCTAGGCGTTTCCCCCGCAGGCCCTTTCCTCGGCCCTCTCATGTAGGACAGAACTACAAAAGAGGGATCGAGTAAACTACCTACTGCTTCTATTATCTCTAATTTCTCAGTACCTGTCAGGTATTCATCTAAAGATTTATAAATAAACAAGGAATATGTTTAGACTAGTTACACCGTGTTCATATCACTCAAATGCCATTTGTCATTGGATAGACAGAGACAAAACATGGAATAACTAATCCAAGCTTATCCTTCGTTTATTAATAAAGGGCTAACCCCTTTATATATGTTTTCTCAAGCATTAACAACTAGCATTGACAGAAACATGCTTAACTAATGCAACAGAAGATAAGAGTTCGTTTTCAAGGTTCTCTAAACAATCAGCCATAGAACTACATCTGTAATCTTTCATTAAGATACATTTTTATTTGATTTGATATAATATGATTATGATTACATTGAACAGCTCGGTGGCGTGAGTGGTTAGCGCGTTCGGCTGCAATCGTTGAAGTTAAGCAACTTTCGCAGTGGTCGGTCATTAGATGGGTGACCAAAAATCGTCTATCTCGAGTTCCTCCGTGCTTACGTTAAGCCGTTGATCCCGGCTGCACCTGCATTCGTTAGCACCCGCCAATCAGCACCGGGCCCGCGTGGTGAGTCATGGCCCAATCTCCCTATTCCATCCATAGGGAAGACCGTGCCCCAGCAATGGAGACATTAATTAGCTGATGATGATTCTTACATTACGTACTTAGTTATTTCTTTTAAAGGGTCTTCAAAACTATGCACACATATGTGTCTATTGTGTAAAAAGTGGGCCCATGGCGATCACAAAAAATCGTAGGAATGTCAAAACGAAAGACAAAAAAAATGGTTTAAGACTAGTCGAACTTGCCTGCAACTACTCGTTCCGTAATATCGTAAGTCGTCGTAAACCTTTTTAACAAAATTAAATAAACCGTTCCACGTCTACGATCCGAAGTTCTTGATAACGACGACCTCCATGGCCGAGAGGTTTGTATGCCGGGTTTCATGGTGTCGCCGACTCGACAGGTCCCGGGTTCGAATCCCGGTGGGGGCAGATGTTTGTGTGATGAAAACGAGCATTTGTACTCCAATCATGGATGTTTAATATGTAATTCTATATAAATATACTTATATATGTACATTATATGTATTCTATCCGTTACCCTAGTATCCCATAACACAAGCCTTATAGTGCTTACTTTGGGGCTAGGCTAATTGGTGAGAGTGTTGGAAATATTATTATTATAAGATGATGTAAATTTTTCAAAGGGACCACTTAGGAGTATTACTTGCGATTACATCAAGAATTTTTAAAATTGGCCCATAATTGAAGGAGAAATCGCGTAACAAACACAAAATAGTTTCAGTCAAACTTTAATTCCTTTGATTCGGCATCAAAAATACCACCAACCCCTATTTTTATGGCGGTAGGAATTTTGCTGGATCAGCTATTAAAGATATAAATCGTCCCTTTATTGGTAAAACCAATTATCTACCAAAAACTAAACTTGTGGCAATGATGATTTAAAAGTTTGACAGAAAAAATATGTAACTAAATTTCATATATTTTAACTGCAATCATGTAATTTTAATGAAAAAATTAATAAAGTATGTTTGTAAATCATAAAAATAGTAGTAATTTATTGAAAATGCTTGAAAAAATGCCAAAACCTATCTTTAGGGAGGTCATTTAATTGGTTGTTCCTGAATAACGACATAAGTATATATATCATTAATTAAATCACTTGCAGCTTATCTTATAGCTTCACCGGAATTTTTCCAAGAAAATAATAAGGTACCAAAAATAACTGCAAAAATAACACTCTGAAACATTCTACAAATTGAAATTTAAAAAAATATAATTGGTTTTGCTTGAGTAAAATAAAGAATTGTGGTAAACTATCTGCAAAATGTTCATAGTTATACAACGAACTAGTCAAAACCTGGTCATTGTTATTTTTATAATTATAAAAATACCAAAAAATCATTACTTACATGAAAGTAACAACTGAATAAAGTAGTAAAATAATAAGAATGTTATATTAGGAAATAATCAACTTTATTAGAAATTTTTATCTAATTATTCAAAACAATCTGTTAAAAAATGAATTAATTTAGATTTTCTAAGTACTCATACAAAACAATTTGATTGTCATATTGCATTAAACTAAGAACCTAAAAAAATATAATGTAATAACTAAAACTAAAAAACTTTAAAATATATAATAACTAAAGTACATTATTAAAAGGAGTCCCTTTAGGCAAGGTTCCAAAGATACTGGCAGCGTTCCCCCTTTGAATAGCTAGACTAATTCTTTGTCCGAGGTACCTGCCACCTCTTCGGTCTCCTGTGACGTCGACTAACGTTTTTGCTATTTCCTTAAAAAGCCCTCCAGCGCTAGGACCCCACGAACCAAGGGTCTCGACACCGAATGGGACAAAATCATATTCGGAGCCTAGACCCCTGTATTTGCAAGCCTTAGCTTTTTCAGCCGCTTCGCATTTATTAAATGAATTTGACATGTCATATTTATAGTATATTTTTATGTCTCATTTTATGTACTTTATGCGTTTTTTTTCTCTCTTTATTGGATCACCAACAGTTACTACATCAATACATCTTATTTAATACAATTTTACATTCAGTGATATAATGTGTAACCACTTATAGGCGAACTCAACATGCATTACATTAAGCTTAAGCAGATAATGGTGTCGATTCTGGCGTGATTCTCTAAACTTAAAACTAAATTTAACATCATTCTCTCCTTTTCATTCTTTATAGAGAATGAGAAGGATATACTGTTGTCAAATTTAAGTTTAGGTTTAGAGAATCATGGTAGAATCGTGTGTATGGTGTGTGTTTCTTTAAATATGTTTCAAAATATTTTTATATATTTTTTATGAATTCGGAGGAATATCTAGGAGGATTGTTTCGCAATGAGATCACAGAGTCATGTATGTCGACAATGTCACTATATTTGTTTAGAGTATAGGATAATCTCGCAATGGGGAGTTGAAACCAAGTACCGTTCTTCTTAAGGGTGGACAAAGTTGTGTAATTGGTTTGCGCGGTATTTAAGATGGTGCTCGGAATTTGAAGAGTGCTAGTAGCTGCGAAGAGTCAGTGGTGTTTTATACCAATTTAGATAGAAATATAATATCTAGTAATTCCCGGCTGTCTGTCAAGGACAACATTCCAAAAATCTTAGCCTTTCAGTGTAAGACCCAAGATCCTTAGCTTTGCCAATGCAAAATGCCAAAACTTGCACGAATCTTTTTGTTTCCTTTCTATCCGTCCACATAGGGGAAAAAGTATGGATGATTCAGAAGTGTTGTACCTTGCATCCAATTTGAATAAAGATATTTTGACTTTTATGCGGAGGGGATGGGTGGCATATGTGGTTTAAAGACTACACTACATTATTCCAAGATAGATCTGATGAGACTGTAATATAGTATTATTTTTGTTTTTGGGTTTCGAAATTGTTTGGTACTTCTTATCAAGAATCCCAGTAGTTTAGATTCTCTTTTAATAATATTTATTTATGAGGCACAAATGTCAAATTGTGATCGTAAATAACACCTAAGTCCCTAATTATATCTTTATCTTGAACGAGTGTATCTTCAATACGATAGTCACAATTAATTTTGTTTTTTTTTTTTTCGTGAAAAGTTAACCACAAAACATTTTGCATTATTAAGGTTCATCCGGTTTTGATTACACCACACCACAAGCCCATCTAAATCTGACTGCAGTAGTACTGAATCAGCTACTGAATCAATTATTTTCCCAAACTTTAGGTCGTCCGCATACGTAAATTTTATTTTTAACCATTTAACTTCCCGTCCATCTGTGTTTTTGGTTCTATTCAAAATTATTGTATAAGCCAGTTTTTCAAGTCTTTAAATTCATTGTATTTAAATTACTTGACTTGATAACAATTTTTGAAGTGAAACTTCTTTAGGCACGCTTGACTTGGGGGGTGAACTGGCGAATTTGTTACGTTTTGTTTTTATAGATAGGCGACAAATGACACCACCCCACCTGATGTTAAGTGAAGGTGAAGTCCAGTCGCGTTACGATTAGTTTCATCCATAAACAATGACAATACCCGTCACAATATACATGAATCTAGTGCTTGGTGGGTGATAACGGACCCAGCGCAGATTGATGGCTCGGTGACACGACACTCTTATGCTAAGCAATGCTTGTTCACCATAGAAGGGAACGACATATATGTTTGCTAAGAGCTTTTCTGCCAAACATTAATGCATTATTCAATTTATACCTAATTAGTCACCTAAAATAAATCCATGCGGCTGAAATAGCAAAAACAGCGATTATGTATGAAACACTACAACCGGCCGGCGATTTTTCCTACAAAAAAGTCAGAGATGTGCGCTCGGAGTGCAAGTGAAACAAAAGATCAAGGGTCGATATTTGGTTTTAGCTGAAAATATTTATGTAGAAATATCACCATACGCTACGATGAAAAACAACAATTTAAGCATAGTTGCTTTTACTTGTATTTTAATCTTAACGATACGATCTCTGATGTTGTGGAAAAACAAATAAATCTGCTTAATCTCTTTTACTTCAATTAAAATCTGCACAAGTGCGAAGCATTATGTTCTGTTAAAAGCAAGTAGAACTACTTACTCTCTTTTTAATGTGTAAGATTCTAAGTACTTTCCAATAATTCAACATAACCAGAACCATTTAAAGTATTTTAATTTGTATTAGTACAACGCTACAGTATGCTCAGAGTGTAAGCAAATTGCAACTAAAATAAGATATGAAACGGAATGTGGTTTTGATTGCAAGGCTTCCAAAAAATTGTACAGGTATAAGACTTTAGCTGTTATTGAATGCAGATGTTACTTAAAAGCTCATAATATAGTTGTTTTTTTGCGTATCTTTCTCGGAAACTATGCATCGTATCAAAAAATCGGTTTTACCTGTAGATAGAGCTCAAAAAGTTGAGTAGCTTGGTGTAAATAACTCATTTTTAAAAAAAAGTGCAGATAATCGGTTTTACCAATAAAGGGACGAAATAGACAAGATTGGCCAATCTTAACTCTCTATCTTATAACATTTCACAATCGAAGATAAAATATTTCGAATAAACATGAATTTTTAATGGTATGTTCATTATAACTCTGTTTTGTTTGGACATTTAAATATACACTCTTTATTGCGCACTTCTTTTATTTATTGCGTATTCTGTTGCAATAGCACAACCTTTGCTTAGTTTGTGATTAAATAATAATTGCTGTTGTAAATATTACTTAAGTTTTCAGTCAAGTCAGGATTATGGGTTCCGAATTTTTCTTCTATACAGCTTCTGTGGTGCTCAATGGCTCAATAACTTGCGCGTTCGGTCTATGATAGTGGACGTTAAGCAACTTTCGCAGTTGTCGATCTTTGTCCAAAATACGTTCAAAGATCGGCTGAAACAATATTATCTTCAGCTATGATCTTGATGTTGCTGTTTCTTGTGTGTATATATATGTGTATGGTTCTATATATAATGTTTATGCACGAAATGTTAATTTTAATGTTTTATTTTTTATTATTAAGTAAGTGAAATGTAACGCCCCAGTCTTTCAGTTTCTGTCAAACTTTCCACGGTTGTCTGTAAGAAATTTTCTTCGCTTTTAGCGACAAGACCGCCTTTCCGGACCGATGACGAGCGATTTGTGACCCTCTATACTAAATAAAACTTTATTTTTAAATTGTAACTTAATTGGTGTTGTAATAAAGGGTTATCTTAACATTTGTGGTACAATTAATTGTATTATTATTATTGTCGAGAAAGTTTTTGTTAGTCATTTTTTATGAATTAGGGCAACTTCAGTAAACTAACTACTAAGTAAATACTTTAAAAGGTTATCGCATAGTTAACAATCTTTAGCATATTATGAAAATAGCCATCTGACCTTAATAAAATATATATATATAATAAAGAACCATCAAAATCTATTTTAACACGCTTTTATTAATTTTACCTGTATGTTTGTTTGTTTGTATGTATGTAACTGACACTCGTACGATTCATAGCTGTATCACCATATGAAGTTTTTACCTCATTATATACCTCAACCGGAGGTTTTCCCTTCCAAACGAGATAACGGATGACGCCGCGTATTTCGCACTTAGCGGGAGATTCGATTGACATTTTCCACGAAAAGCGTTGTCGCGTCGACACTTCTCAACGTACTCATATTGAACAGTACGCCTAGCACGAACCCTTATCGAATTCGAATAGTTTGCAAACCGAAATGTCAATGTCAGAGGACAATGGGCAAAACACACCCAGCTCCGCCAACAATGTAATTAGTATGAATCGATAGATCTATGAAAAACTAGCCTTTTTTATTATCACACCGAAAAAAAAATCCTGGGAGTCAAAAGATATGACACCGTAAAAAATATCCTGATAGTCAATAGATATGACACATGGGCATATTTAAGTAGCTGAATAAATGCATTTTATAGTACCTTCATCTTATATTATTAGTAATCATAATAATATGCCATATCGTACTTATACAACCAGATATACGACAAAACCTGCCGACCATCCTGTGCTTGCTCTTACTGAGACATTTCAAAACGGTTTACGGATGCTGAAGGACTTTCAGTTGCAAATAGTCGACTCGTCTTACTTCGTTGTGATTGTGCGCTCCCTGCTACTTGATTGATTTTTATCTAACACGCTTTGGATATTGGAATACGATTATCGGTTTTGTCAATTAGAATTGATGAACTGGAATCATGTGTTCTCCGAAGCGTGGACAAGTTTGTGTAATCTGTGGTCGCTCCGTTTTACATAGAAGACAATTTACTATAACGAACAGAATGTTTAAAAAAACCCAAGCCATGCGGGGATTTTTGGATTTACTCTAGAGCGGCAGAATAACATAAGGGACTCTTGCACCTTGTGAAGTACTCCCATAATTCCTGAGCACCCTATGTAGGGTCGAACTAACTAACAAAATTAATTCCCTTGTTTCATTAATGTTCGTTCGTTATAGTACTTGTAAATATTTAACTTAAAATAACTAGAGACCCCCGGGATGGAATTTGATGCGCCTTGGCACAGATGATGTTGACTTTAATACCTTTCAAACAAATGTAGTTTAAGCCGTGGCGGACGTGGTGGCAGCGTCCATAAATTTTTGTCTAATGTCCTTTGTATGGAAACTTGAACAGCAGCGATATTAATTTATCTCTTTAATGTTTTGACAATGTCAATAAAAGAAAAAATACATGTCCAAAACTGTCTGCCAATCGACCTGATAAACGAAGAAAAACAAGTTAGTCATCATCCCTATTGCTTTTATTCCGGACAAACATTTAAATATGAAGTGGTTTAGGTTTTCTACGAGGAGAGTTATAGGAAAGGAACAATTTTGTTATATATATATTTCTCATAACTCACGCTTCTTTGAGACCCAACCACCAATCACCTTATTAATAAACGAGGAATAAGTTTACACTAGTTACGCTGTGTTTTGTTCATATCACTCCAATATCATTTGTCATTCAATGAACAGAGACAAAACATGGAGTAACTAATCCAAGTATAAGTTAAGTTATTCTTCGTTTATTAATAAGAATGAAAGGGTTTGCTTTCATCTTTCTCAAAACTGCTGCATCTTTGAGACACAAGTACCCAAGCAACCTCTCAATGAATCTATGCCGTGAATGTAAGTCGTATCTCGTATCGTACACAAAAAAAGTTCATGTCGGCTTTAAGAGACTACGCTACAATACGTGACTATACCATACGATGGAGTACGTTAGTTGCACTTTGCCGAGCGCACGGCACGGACGCCGGCAGACTAACTTTCTACTTAAGAAAATAAATATCGAATATCGCGCAGCAAATATCGAATGTAGTTTTTATAATAAACAATATTTGAGTGGATTGAATCAATCAACAATCAGCGTAAATAAAGTGAGTACACACCTACATAAATATTATTTTCATATTAAGACCCCGAGACTTTCGTTTGTTGGTAATATGGGACTTTCTTTTGTTTTGTGAGTTTTGATCTCGTTTCGTGTAAATATGTTTATATTTCTTTTAGGGAATGAAAGTTTTAGTAGATTGAATTGCATAGAGAGGATTACTGATAATAATTAGAAAAAGATATATTAAGCTGATATAAATAAAATTAGACCAATGATTGTTTTCTTTTGTAAAAAAATATAAAAAATACATACCTCCAATCTTATAACATTTCTCAAATTACTTATTTAGATCCCTACACAACGATACCTATTAGGAAGTAAGTAATTTGATATCCATTCAATTAATTTATTGTTATGTGAAATTAAAAATAAACTGTCGCGAAAAATTGTTGAATACTTGCAGTCCTTTTTTAATATAATTACATAAATATAAAAAGTTCGTTAAAAAACCTCAACTTTATGTTATGCATTGATAAACTTATGGCTACTTCTCTTATAGGCATTTAAAAAAAAAAACAAAAACTTAAAAGAACTATAATTAAATAAATTTTTTTCTTGGTGTTTTTTTTTTCTTTTTTTGGTGTTCATTTACACACCTTTTTAGTTTAATCTAAGTTTACACCACAAATAAAAAAAAAATTCAAGCGGCAAACACCTTTGGCTAATGAAAAAGGTATATATAATGAAATTAAATAAACTTAAAAAAGAATGATATGGGAATAATTAAAAAATATTATTTTCTCATCAAAATGTTACCGAGTCTTCTTCTTCTTTTAAGCCGTCAAAATGTGTGAAACATTTTTTAGGTATAAGTCTCTTCATGGTCTCTCCAAGCGACCCGATTCCTCTCTACCCGCATTCATGTCTTGCCCACTATTTTGGTGATGTTATCAGTCCAGCGCATAGGTTACCTATCTACCTTGACGACCTCCGTGGCCGAGTGGTTTATACGCCGAGTTTCATGGTGTCGCCGACTCGAGAGGTTTAATATGTATTTCTATATAAATATACTTACATAGGTATGTACAATATATGTATTCTATCCGTTACCCTAGTATCACACAAGCCTTATAGTGCTTACTTTGGGGCTAGGCTAATTGGTGTGTGTGTTGGAAATATTTAATATATTTATTTACCTTCCTTCGCCCAGTTCTTGGTCCAGTCGGCAATTTTCCGAGTCCATCGGCCTGCGTCTCTCCTGCTTAAAAGGCTTGCCCATCTCCATTTCAACCTGTCCTGTTATCGAATACTGACTTTCCATTTAAATATGTCATAATTTAATTTTTTCTATTGCTTCGCCAGAGGCCATGCATTACCTAAATTTAATTACATTCACTATTTCATTAGCAAAACATTAAAGAATTCAGAATGAAACTTTTGTTTTGAATAATATTTACCTTACCAATCTTGCTTAACTTGCTATATATTAATAATGTAATAGTGAAATGCTTGAATAAAATAAAAAAAAACAATCAAAATGGCAACTTATTTAATAATATCGTACTGAGCAACTAGAGCGTTCGATGAGTATTTTAAAAGTGTTATGTGGAAATTCTAATAATTTTATCGGGCTTTCATCACAGACAAGTTAGGAAATGCAATAACAGTATTTAAACCTGCACGGACACTCAAACAAGGATTTTTTTTACTTTTTGTTATCCCTACAAAATTATTTCAAATTTAATGTAAGGAACAGAAACAAAATAATTAGAAGTTGTGTTTTTGGGAGTTGTCTCGGTTTAATACCATTTAGGTACTAAACTAAAGCTAATACTGTGTTAAGAATTCTATAGACAGACAAAGTGTCTACTAACTCAGGGAAAGACGAAGTAGTTTAATTGTTAAAATCAGATATTCTTAGGTATGAGTATATATGGAAAGTAAAACTGATTTTTTAAGTATTTTTCTTAACATAAACAAAACCTACCACCACATCTACAGTTTCTATGGCGACATCTTTACACTAAATTTTAATAAAATCCTTACACTACTCAATTTGATCAACCTTCCTTACTTCTTATTCTCGTTACCAATTCAGAACATAATGAAACATATCTTCTTCGACATACTTAATTATAAATAAATAATAAATACTTCCAACACTCACACCAATTAGTCTAGACTCAAAGTAAGCACGCGAAAAAACAACTGCTGTTTCGGCCGATTAGCTGATGCACTTTTGTATGAAACAACAGTTTTTTTTATCGCGATTTCAGCGTTGGTCCTATAATAAAAGTTGTTCCTGTTGATGGGTAGAATCACCCCCTAAGAGGTTGTTGGTGTTTTTAAATTAACCCTGTATAGGTATATTTACATAGAAATACATATTAAACATATGGATGTTTAATATGTATTTCTATGCAACATTACGAGCATTTCTACTCCAGTCATGTGACTGGAGTAGAAATGCTCGTATTTCCCACAAACCCACCCCGCCGGGATTCGAATCCGGGACCTCTCGAGTAGGCCACACCTTGAAATCCGGCGTACAAACCACTCGGCCACGGAGGTTGCCCGAATGGTTTGTACACCGGGCTTCGCAGCAAATCGTAATTTGATGAATTACGATTTGCTATTTTTCACTGCTTTCATAGCGCTAAGCTCACATATTTACAAGGTCGATGGCACACAGTTTTTGTAATTTGGGTATTATTGGTTGCAACTCTTTTTCCTTATGAAACATTTCGTGAAATAAATAGCGGTATTTTTATGAGATCCTGTCAACAATATCATTGTCATTTTTATTGAAAGTCAATATTAATTAAAGTTGTACCTAGTAATAGAGCGCAAACATCTACTTATATTACTTGGATTATCTTGAATTTATTCAATTCTAGAAGAATTGTCCACACCTCTCCATCTCCTTTTTCAACTGCCAACTTTTTTTAATTATGTTCGTAGAATACTCAAAGGCGGCTGGCTGGAGTTGGTCCCATGCACAGTCCCCATGGTTATTAGGTTAGGATCTGATGATGAGATACTGGAGGAATCGAATGAACTCTTTTAATTTTATTTTTGTCACCAAAAGTTTTTTATACAAAAAATCCTAATACTCATTTCATATTATGACCCAGTTTTGTGTTAACACAACTGAAAAATAAATTATTGTAGTAAGACATTTAAAAAAATAAAACATATAAAATAAAATAGAAATCTTATGATTATATATATGAAGTCAATCCAGTGCCCGAAAGCCACAAGTCAAGTTACACCTGAAATAAAACTGTGAGCTTTATATTGCTTTAATATAAGATTCGCAATTTAATAAGATATTTTAACAGAATTTCCACCATCATGATATTCTTGAACAGCTTTCTATAAATCATAGTTCTGGTATTATAATTGGCGTAATATAAGAATGTCAATGAACTGAAACAACAGAATATGGAGTCTAAAATCATACTGAATGTATATATAATTTTATGCGAATATCAAAAACTCGGATTTATTATGATAAAAAACAATGAAATACATACCTAGATAATGTATTATTAAAAAATGAAACACAAACCATACTTAAGCATCAACAAGCAACACAATGCATATTTTTTCAATGCTGAGTCATTAATGCTAATATAATGAGTAATTAATTTGAATAATTAGACAGCACTGTATATATTTTATAAACAATCAGTACCCATGTCAATAAGTATATGGGTAAGTTTTGTATGTTGTCCGCAATTGCATATTTTTTTTATCAATATTAATTTTCAAAATACACTTAGAATTTTCATAAAAATCACCAATTTTTCTTGTTTGGAGCATGGTATTTTATTTTAACTACCTTAAGATTTGACGACCTCCGTGGCCGAGTGGTTTGTACGCCGGGTTTCATGGCGTCGCCGACTCGAGAGGTCCCGGGTTCGAATCCCGGTGGGGGCAGATGTTTGTGTGATGAACACGAGCATTTGTACTCCAGTCATGGATGTTTAATATGTATTTCTATATAAATATACTTATATATGTAAAGTATATGTATTCTGTCCGTTACCCTAGTATCCCATAACACAAGCTTTATAGTGCTTACTTTGGGGCTAGGCTAATTGGTGTGAGTGTTGGAAATATTTTTTTTTATTTATTTAGATGCATTGGTGCGATAACCATCATTTAATATTTTTTTTGTCTTTGGCTTTCTCCATTGACTATGTCATCTCATAATGTTCATAGTATCGGAATAAAATATTAGTTATTTCAGAATTCCGGAGAAGGTAATGGCCTAACCTAACCTGAAAATTCATTAAATCTGTTAAATGTAGTAGAATGCAGGGGGATAAGTGTTAGGGAGGACCCTCAGAGGGGAGGGGGGTAACCCCCCTCCACCAATAGCAAAAATGTACCCGGATATGATGACCTTACAGCCGATATTTGCTAAGTAGCTATAGAGGCATGCATGCCCACAAATTATACACAATATAATCAATAGAGCATTCGAACTTACAGTATTTTCCCAAGCCCTGAAAAAAGGCCGTTATAAAAATAATACCCAAACCAGGTCAAGACAAATACGACGTCATATCATTATATCGACCCATCGGCCTTATTTCCGTCTTTGGGAAACTATATGAAAAACTCATGAACTATATGAAATGAACCGTTACTCATTACATGTATACAAATCAAAGTGACAATGATCAACAATTCGGGTTCAAGCTTCAAAAGTCTACAGTTATGGCTATAAATAAGGCAACTGGACTAAAGTGCTGGTGCTGGACTAAAGTGCTGGACAGCCGGTCGCTGTAATCTCGCTAGATATAAGAGGCGCGTTTGATAATGCCTGGTGGCCTGCAATTTTTAAACAAGTAAAAAGAATCGAAAAATATCTATGGTACAATAGTTAGTTACACAACAGACAGAGATTAATATTGAGTAATGTTGAATCCACAAGGGAGATGTCGCGCGGCTGCATACAGGGCTCTGTGTGCGGCCCCATTAAATGGAATCTAATTATGGATTTGTTGACCACTCCCACGCCCAATGGAACCT